ACTGAATATTCAATGTCTAAGTGACTAACAACGTAACAATTATTGCCCTTTATATACTTTAAACAAAGGAAGTTATCTTGACCAGTCATTAAAACTTATAAGTATACGAAATTTGTGATTGTCTGATCAAAATAATAAAAAGATAATTGTTGGCAATCGTTTTAAATATGCCTCGAATTATACCAAGCTCCAATCATGTATGGGGATAAGGGAAATTGTCACCAACCTCCATGGTCCCTCAAAATAACGAATTCTTACTGAAGTTAGGATTATGAACCACAGTATATCAACTCAATGGTCTGAAAGTTGAGAACTCTTCAAGAGATTTGGAGGTACTAGATTCGACTCGAGGCGAAAATTATGGACAAATATTAGTAATGAGTTTTGGGCTAATTCAGAATAGTTGTCCAGTGATTTTTAACTTACGATATTTGTCTAATTAAAGTCAATCAATGAAATAAAACTACAAAATGGAGTATTTTGTATAATTTACTTAACAGAGTAGAATTTACTTTTGCTAAACTAATTTATTATTCTCTACATTAATGACTCCTGACCGTTGCTGCTACCTTGACGTGGTGGTCGGGCTTGCCTATCGTGATGATCCAATCGAGCTATGCTGGCTGGAACAATCGTTCCTCAAGGTCCTATCATGCCAGACAGGTCGGTTGAAGTGCGGTGAGACTAAAAGCAGCAATCCCAAGGTCCGAAGGCGAAGTCGTACTGCTGACTGTACAGAGGTGTGAAAGCAGTAAGGTGTTTCCTTCAGACAACCAGCATGACAGCGATGCTGCCTTCCCACAAGGAGGGGTGGGGTTAGAAAAGGTCGACCCTAAAAATGCACACCTCGCCTTATCCCACGGATTTCCGTCTCCGGCGGTAAGGACTTTTGAAGAACGGAGCTAACACGTCAAAAATCCCCCACAAAAAGGCCGTGCGTGACCGGCCCCAAGCAGATGTCCCTTGGGCACTGCGGTCACGCTCCCAGGTTGTTAAGACCAACACTAATCCAACTTCTTTTTCAGGTCCCTCAAGAAATACCCTTCCACGGTGTGGGCAGCCGGGAAGTGATACTAGCCCTCATACCCTTAACTGCACACAAGACCAAGTTGGTCGCTTTCAAATCCTTCCTACTCCTAATAACTCTGTTATCTCCACGACTAACCATTCCCACGTCCTTTCATCACCTCGCACCGCTAGGGCAAACGACTCGAGTACACGGAACGTTATTCCTGGTCTCCTGAAACCACGCTCTAAACTACATGTAGGAACTTTTAATGTCCGAACATTGTGCCAAATAGGACAACAGGCTTCCTTAGCTAGGACTCTAGAATCTTACACCATCGATGTGTGCTGCGTCTCCGAAACGCGCACACAAGATCAAAGTAGTGTCATTCATTTGACCGCACCTAATCAAAATAAAGTTTCATCACGATACACGCTTCGTGTATAATGGCGACCGTCTGTTGCAGCTATACTCAGATATTTCTTGCAAATACTAACTTTAAGCATAAGGAAAAACATCTTTTGACATGGCGACCCCCAAATTCGTCCCAACGTTGGACCCAATTAGATCACATCGCTATCAGCCACCGATGGAGGGGCTCGATAGAAGACTGTCGCTCATTCTGGGGCACATGTTTAGATTCAGATCATGCTCTAGTGCGAGCACGTATCTGTCTGCGTCTTACTGGTCGTAGGAAAGACACTGAAGGGAAGCCTCTAAGGGTTCTACTTAATGATAGACCAGCTAAGAATATATTTCAGGAACAACTAGGAAAACAGTTAGGCAGCCATGTAAGTTGTGTCCACCCCGAGGCAGCGTGGAATGACATCCGAAAAGCTGTGGAAACAGCAGTGATATCCGCTAGTAAGGTAAACCATAACGTTAAGGAGAAACAATGGATCTCGGAAGCATCTACCGCACTGATAGATGCTCGTAAACTCATCCCACCTGGCTCTGAGCATAACGAAGAGCGGAGTCAACTTAAGTGCAGGCTTATAAGAAGCCTACGTAATGATCGTGAACAGTGATGGGTAGCGAAAGCAAGAGAGATGGAAAAGGCAGCGGCAATAGGTAACAGTAGGCAGCTATTCAGACTCGTTAAAGAAACCGGTATTAGGAACCCGAATATCAGTGAAACCATCTCAGATAAAGATGGGCATATTATTCATTCTCAATCCAGGAGATTGGATCGATGGGCAGAACACTTTAGGGCTCAGTTCAACTGGCCTTCAGCCACACTTCAATTACCCACGATCCCCAGTCGTCCTGAATGGCAAATTGATGTAAGTCCTCCAACCCTCTGTGAGGTTGAAAAAGCTATAGGAAATCTGAAGCGAGGGAGAGCCGCAGGCCCTGATAGGTTGACCCCTGAGATTTTTAAGGATGGTGGTCCAGTACTAGCAGTGAGATTGACTGAGGTCTTAGATAGAATCTGGGAACTGGACGTAATTCCATCTGACTGGTCCCAATCACTGATTGTGCCAGTCTATAAGAAAGGACAAAAGTCCTCTTGTGACAATCACAGAGGGATCAGTTTGACTAATATAGTGTCTAAAATCTTAGCTTCAATAATACTAGGTCGCCTAACCAAAGCTCGTGAAGAGCAGACTAGAGAAAACCAGGCTGGTTTTCGACCTGGACGTGGTTGCATAGACCAGAAATTCACCCTACGTCAGGTTCTAGAACATAGACACAAATTCAGACGTCCCACAATAGTAGTATTTCTTGACCTCCGTCCTACTTTATGGCAGTGAAACATGGCCAATAAGAGTAGAGGATATTCGTAGGCTACTAGTGTTCGATCATAGGTGTCTTCGAAGCATTGCTCGTATATCCTAGGACCACCGACTAAGTAATGCAGTTGTTAGGAAACGAGTACTAGGTAGGGATGGCAAATCGATTGATGAAGTAGTGAAACTTCTTCAGTTGAGATGGCTGGGACATGTGTTACGTATGCCCGACCACCGACTGCCCCGACGTGCAATGCTTCATGGTGTAGGAGTAGGTTGGAAGAAAGCTAGGGGTGGCCAGACCAAAACGTGGCACAAATCAATGAAGTCACTGACAAGTGGACTGGGCCATGTTGGTAGGTGTAGACTACCTGGTTGGGATTCGCGAGATGATAGCAACCGATGGTTAGAGACCTTGAATGACATGGCTCAATATCGTTTGCAATGGCGAAGGTACATCCACTCTTTGTGTTCTACCAAATTCTAATCTTCTGAATTCCTCATGTCTTTATCTTTTTCTCTTTCCAAATTTATTTCACTGTACTATACTCCTTCAATAATTTCTTCAAACCCTAATCTTTTGGATTTCTGATTATTCTCCTACTACTTCTACCACTATGGGATTTGAATCGACAACTGCATCTCTGTGCTAATGTGGTATGGCAACTCGAACTGATGTACGTACGTACGAAGTTCTACGTTGTGACTGACTGACTGACTCCTGAAGGGAAAAAGAAAAGAGTAAGACCAAGGAATAAATTGGGAGCAGATGTCAAAAGAATGAACAGCAACTGGAAAAAATTAGAAAGGATTGCCCAAGGCAGAGTTCGATGGAGAATCCTGGTAGGCAACCTATGCTCCTCCTCGAGGAGTAACAGACTTAATTAAGTAATTAAATACATTGATAAGTATTATGGTAATGTTAATTACATAAACTTCTGGTCCCCGATAAACTCGAATTTTTTTTTCATATTACATGTTAATATCATAGCAATTTGCTTAGGACATAAGAAGTGTTTCAGTAACAAAGTTAATTTTGATTTTTGACTCATTATTCTAATCAATAATTTCTATTTTAAGCTGATCAAATATTTTGTACATAAGGGATAGTTGTATTTCATTAAGAGATCAATTCAGCAAATTTATTAAATGATCCTATCATTTTGTTGCTGGAGTTAGTAAGAGTTTCATTCATTCGGATATGACAATTTATTATCCACTATTGTTTTCTACTTGAAAATAATAAGAGTAATACGACTTGATATTACGGATAACTACTCCTAGCACTGATGATCTTGAAGAACGAACGTAGACAACTTCCCAACTTCCACCTTAGTTACACTTAATTCAGAATGAAAATTTAAATACTGAGTAACAAATTTTTTAATACATTCGAAAAGATTTATTACGCTAATAACTACTGCGTATCCGTATAATTACTATGTGCTTTGACGTAAGATAAAAAACTGCCACACTTAAAAATCAACAAACATGGGAGAATGTTAAACCAAACAAGGCAATTTGAGTCAATGATCATAACGAAATAGAATACGTCACCGTGCCTAATAATTAAAAGTACAAGTTGATAGTGGTAAGACAGGTGTACTGATAGTAGTAGGAATACTAAATTACGATAACAAAAGTCTTATCAATCGCTGAAAAATTCTCATGTTACAGTTTTAAATGATGTACTGTGCCTTATTTTTAATTTTCTTATTCTTAGCATTTTCATATCCGTTATTTAAAAGTAATTTCCCACCTCTTTCCGTTTGTATTCTTCACTATCTAATTATTTACATACTTCTTATTATGTAATGATTTTAATGTTTTGTGATGACTATTCTAAGTATATTTACCCTTGTTTGACCTCCTATTTTCAATGTTTAACGATTGATAAGACACAATTATATGAACGAAGAATATTCTTATCAATAATTTCTCATCAGGTTCTGCAATTATAAACATGGGAGAAATAAACTCATTTACCATAACGAATGTAAAGCAGTTAGTATTGTTTGTTTGAACCTTCCCATTGATGCTTAGGACTGCAACTGGTCAGTCTCTAATTGGCATATGTCCATACTGTGCGTATCAACTCGATATAGCCTATCAGGACTCAGTGGTCGAGTTGATAACGCGATGGTGTTTGAAGCGAAAGATACTGGGTTCAAGTCCCAGAGTGAAAATTCAACTCTGAGATGCAGGTACATTCAGCTGACGAGTCCCAATTAGGATGAAACGCGCGTCCTGGATTCCACTGATAGCCACTATCCATATTTGCTTAAAATGTAAAGCAGCTTTACTCATTTTACTTATTAGCGTTTGTTTATTGCATAACCACTTATTTCTAGCTCTTTAGTCTTTCTTTGCTATCACTGTCATGGAATTTTCTAAATATGATATACATTTGCGATATTTATATTTAGTTTCTTAGATTTATTAATATTCTGGTTATACTATGCTGTTGAGTATTCAAAACAACTTCTAACTGAAGTCATTTGTGTAAGCAATTCTAACCTACTTTGTAATTATAATTTTCAAATCTTACACATTTTAAGGAGTTAACAAGAACCTAACGAAATAAAATGAGTTTATGTTGGTCGGTGCGAATTCTTGTTTATGTTCTTAAATTGATGAAGTGTTACATGCATAAAGAGAATATAGTTAAATAATTAAAAGGAGTGGTTTTACCAGTTATAATTCCATATGACTGAGACCTAAACTGTCAAACTATATCTGTACCATAATTACCAATTATTTTTAATGACTTATCATGTAAATCAATGTAATAGTAATTAATTGATATTATAAGTCACTAGAGAACAGAACAGCTAGTTTGTTCTAGTTACAGACTCCCCAATAGTAATACACACGAATGAGGTTGAACACTGAACAAACACAGAACATTCAGATCCTTCAACAAGCATAACACGAAAATTTGGCTTGTGATCCAATAATTCACACTTTCAACGTCAACGAATGTATAATATGGTCTAATACTCGTTTGTAGTCATTTATTGACGATCAAAGTACCTCCAACTTGATTGATTTCATAGATAATAACTTATAACAGAAATTAATTAAATAAGCTAAACATAGCCATTTTCAAACATTAATAACAATATTTTTTATTTCCAAATATCACTGGGATGAAAATATATAACTTTGACATCTGAGTACATCTTCATATCTTCCTATCCCTATAAATATCTACATACAACCTAGTTGGAGTCCTGACGATTTCTGTAACTAATGGTTGGACGCATTTAGAGATAACCTCTAGAATCAGTAGCAGTATCACAATTGCAATCGCTCTTTGTCTTTCGTTAGATCTTAAGTTGCACAATTATTTTATACTTTTCTATTCTGTGAATTCATTTTTTCTTCTTTAATTATACTGTCAATGTCTAATCTTTTCTACAACAACAATTGATACTATTATCAACTTTGGGATTTGTTTTGATAGTTTCATTTTGTTATGCCAATACAGTGTTGTAACTTGGACCGATAACCATATATGTGATAGGTTCTACGTTGTTTATGATTGACTAACTGACTGATTTACTCTTTTTGTAATAGACCTCGTCAAGTTAACAGGAAAATAACCTATGAATACAGCTAATAAAAACAATATCCCCCTATTTTTTATTCTTAAATATAAATTGTACAATTTATATTTAATACAACTAGTAGCATATTTAGGATGATGGTAAAAGAAGAACAAGAATCGATTTGTGATTTTAATTACAATGAAAATTTCAATATAAAGATTTAATTGAAACTTACACGTAATCATCTAGTTGTTTTTTTTCCTATACAGAAAGTGTGATTAGCAACTTATAACAAGAAACAATAATGGTTGATTATAGTGTAATGAACAGATAGGAAGTAAAATATTGATTATCAAAAACTGGCAGTATACTAATAATGATCATAGAGTTTATTTATACCAAGAAAAAACATCAGTGATAAATGACGTTGGTGTTAAAACGATAACTTAGTAGTCATAACATATGAATTTCAACAATTAAGCTGCAAGTTCAAAACTCATTAGATTTCATTTTATTTCACCAATGGGAGTAGTAACAATAAAATTAACAAAGAGAATGCTGTGTCAAAGCTGAATACAATAAGTTTCATTAGTTGACTGAGTTACATTCACTGGAAACAGATAGCTGCTGGTGGCAATGTTAGGTAAGGTTTGCTGTTTAATGGATAATCTATAGAGTTAGAAATCTAACAATTCACCATTTAAATCATAACTCAGTATCGAACGAAGTATATACCTCAAACAGTGAGTATATAAGCTAGTTCTTAAGTGAATAATATCTTTAAGTGTGAAATGCTGAATAATTTCAGATTGCTAAATTCAAAAGAGGAAAACAATACAAATTTGAAGTCTTACTTCAATTTTAATGTTTGTAAATTAAAGTTTATCAATACTGATGCGTGACAAGCATATGCTTCATTGAACATTGAAACCAGATTAGTATTGTTGGGGATGTCAAATCCCCAGAACTTACTTGCTAAATGGCTTAGTTTTGTAATTTATTTTGAAAATTTGAATTTAGCTGTTTCCGCGCCAAACGCGCTCTTTTTACCTTCACGTCATATCTCCCACTTGTAAACTGTCTTAAACGCTATTGGTCCGTTGTTTCTTTGTGTGTGCTATTTACCAATGATGCTCAAGGACAAATTGTTGTTGTATAAATGCGCTTGACTTTTTCCCTTATTAGATTGCTTGTACTCGGCTGCTTACGGAATACATATATATTCCCCTACTTGCCTTGGACTTCTTCATCTAGTTAGCGGGGCCTGGGACAACAGATTAGAGTAGCTTATCGTGTCATTGTGTAATTGGCTTTCGTTCGTTACCGCGGAATCGATTTAGTTTCAGGCATAACAAGTATTTGGATTTTTTTGGTTAACAAGTAAATTTATTGAACCAGTAAACTTAAAATCTGTAAAATTCAATTGCACTAATAAACTAGGTTGGTTTTATTTATTTTCTTGACTCAACAGCTTGAAAACACTGACTTATTTATCATAAGAGAATTAAAAAATCGTTAGCTAAAAAACACTTAGATAAGCTACAGTTTATTTAACAAAATTGTTTCATCACAAAAAAAGTAGGGAAGAAGAAAAATCGAAAAAGTTTAAACAAGGTTAGAATTTTGATTTTGAATAATTTAGTTAAAAATTTAAAATGCAATACAGTAACCTTGCCTTGGGTTAAATACTCAACTGTGGTAGAATATATAACCCAAGAAACTGAGAGATCACTTGAAAACAACGAAAGTTGATCAATAGGAGAGTTTCCTATCAATGTAAGTATACGAAATCTCCCTTCGGAAATGTTTCAAAACTACAGTATAAAGAATATGAGAGTCACTAGTTTAAATTTCAAGATACCTAATCTACAATGTTCTAACTAGAGGTTGTTAACAGTAAGACTAGATTTTTGGAGAAATTAGTTTTTCATCTAAATAATCCCTCTTATTACTACCAGCAAACTATATTGTTAGTAATAAGGATCACTAAATACATTCCACTGTATTAAATGACACATACGGCATAACCATAGCACACGAAACGTTTTACAGTTTGCTAGTGAGAAACATTGCTATCGTATACACTAATCTCATATAACAGAATATATAATCTCTTTGGAAATTTTAGTCACATTAAAGAAGAATGACACTCCTATTTAAAATAAATCGTTTGTGGCTAGTATTTGAATCAATGAAGAGCATTTCACCCAATTTCTAAATCGTCAGCTGAGGGGAGCCATATCCCAGTGTTGATGTTTACACAACAACTCGAATCCAGTAGCCTTCAAACACCAAGACAAATCAGAATTCAATCCTAAATATCAACAACGGGATAATTTCAACCCTTTCTAAAAGTTGATTGGTTCGAGTCTTGGTGTCAACATAAACACTGAGATGAATGTACACCTATTTGACGAATCCCAGAAAGGAAAACACTCATGTTCGGGATTTATATGCTAGCCACAATCCATCTGTTCTAAAACCTTGTGATTACACTTGTCAGTCCTCCAATTCCAATATTTGTATATTTAGAGTTGACACGAATTTAAACCGCAGTTACATTTTACCTCCTACAAACAACACTTAACGCAATCAATATATATATATATATATATATATATATATATATATATATATATATATATATATATATATATATATATACGAATTAATAAGATTATCAACTTACCGTAGAAAAAAGAAAAGTATATCCATAAACCAATGCCGGTATCCAGAGTCGATGAATAACACTCAATAGAATTGCTGGTATAAAACCCAAATTGGACAAAGCCAATATCAATGCATCATATGATAATATTTGTCTGTTTGGATAGAGTCCAAAAGTTTTAAAATAATCTATAGGTAATGGCATACAACCTAGACCACCATAGCCAATAGGGCAAGCACATGTCGATACATGAATTGATCTTTGAAAAAGGTTAATACATATACCTTCACCTGGTATTTTACCAATTTTTTTATTTGGAACATAATGAAATGGACTATTATATTTGAAATGATAATTTTCTTTATTAGAATTATCTTTATTGCTACCATCAAATGACCACCATGGTGGACGCCAGCGTTGGCTACCATCTCTAGAACGTGATGTATTTACCTAATATCAGAAAGAAATTGAAGGTAATCAATTTTCCTGTTGATGTAAAATATGTAAAGTGATATTACGATTAGAACGAAAAATAGACATATTTAGTATGCTAGCTTTATAGAGATTAACAAACACTCCAAACCAGTTTTTTAGTCGAGTCTAAGATTTTACCATTGAAATCTTAAGTTACCAGTCTATCAAATATTTACTTGTCTTATCGCTTAGTTCCGAGATAATGAGTAGTGTAGAAGTAAATTAAAAGAAAGCTAGAGCGGTTAAACCAAGATGTGGCATCAACCCAAGAGGCCATTGATAGTTGAACTAAACCATGTTAGTAAATACACACAATATAGTTGAGATATGCGTGGTTATCGTAACCAAGGGTCGCAGACATTATGTCAAATGGCTCAAAATCAGTCGCAATGGTGTGGATACATTCAATCCTAAAGTATTTTTACTCCAGGAATCAGTATATTTTTATCATATTAAAAATCCCTGTTCTTTACTACTACAGCTGGTGCTGTTACTAGTCCTACTCCTCTGATGTCTCGCTGGGCTAATGTGGTTTGGCAACGTAAACCAATGTACATATACGCTAGATTATATATTTCCTACAACTGATTGACTGTTCAATGATAACGGACACGTTAAACCTGTAAAGGCAAGCCCAAACCATAAACACTCAATTCGGCATTGCAGAAAGGTGTTAGATGTAGGATAACCTGATATGTAGAACTATGCATTTTGCATCAATGACAGTATACTTATTAGGTTAATTTACCTCAAGCAAGTATAAGTACAGAGAGAGCACTCACATTTTGAAAATAAGTTTAACGTTGTATTAAAAAAATAAGAACAAAAAATATTTTGTGTTTGTCAACTTAATAGCAAAAACATTTTCCAGTGTTTGATGTATCAGTGATAGTAAGTCATGACTGGTTAGTGAACAAAGATAGATATCCATCTATACTAAATAAAAGACACGATAATATTGTGAACTCCTTCCCATTACTAATTACATTCGCTAATTATTCAAGATTCCAGTGTATCGAACTCTAGATTTTACATTGTGTTAATAAATGGTTATTTTGGCTAAGATTGTGTGGTTCTCAATCACTGGCTGCAATTACGTATCTCTGTATCATGGTCAAGTCAAAACAGGAAAGACTTTTTAAAGTATTCCAAGCCAGCAGTAGGTATCTTTGGCTTTTACAGAATAAGTGTAACTTATAGAACTGGCTGTATGAATCCCTACCAAACTTTTTAGTTGTTGTTCTTACAATATTGTTACATAATTTGAATAATTACTCTGGAAAGAAATTAAATACTTCCGGATACCATCTAAACTGTGCACATATCGTGAGATTATACCCTATTATTGTTTGTTATTAAGTGAAAGTAGTAGATTTTGGATTGATAAAAATGTTAGTTACACATTGCACGTAAAGGCAATAAATAAATTATCACTATTTTGCAATTTTACCCAAACGAAACAACTATGAGAATGATGATGTATGACTATTTAGATTTTTTAAACTTCATAGTGTAACGAAAAACCAGTGCAAAAAAACACAAGAAAACATTGATATTGATCAGTGAAATTATTCAAAGAAATAAGTCGATATAAGAAAAGCTTACTTTTAATTCATTCGAATATAGGAGGCGAGATGGAGCTAGTGAAGCTCCTTCACCGATCTGTCGACAATGATTATTTATACATGGAGTTGAACGTATTATTAGTGAAACATCAATAACTGCTGACTGATCCAATCCACAAAATGCACTTGGTTTTTCAAGAAACAAAAAAAGAAAACACAAATATGTTGGGTAGTAGTGGAACAAGTGGTAGACATTATATGTTTATTTTAACTAAACAGAAAACTATAACAAGTAATTTTAAGATATATCTTCATAAAAGACAATGTTTTATTAAACAGTAATTGGAAAACCAATGAATATTAAGGGTAGCACTATACAATAGTAATTATTATTAGGTGGTTGAAAGTACTCAACAGCAGACCTTAGACCTAGTTTCCTGTTATTTCGCACTCACCAGTACGGGATACCAGTAATCTTGACGAGTGGCAAATAGCGTAAAATATAGGTCCAGTAACCCTTGTCGATTAACTCCGACTACCTAAAAATGTCAAAACAGTACAAGCAATATCTAGACGCCTAGACTAATGGCCAAATGTGATCAGCACTAAAGGACCAGATAAATAAGAAATTCGTCACTAATCAATTATAAGGAAAAACAGTATTCCTACAATATGTAGTATGGAGAGAAATAGAGTGTGAGGACAGAAAAAGAGAAAAAAGGTGAGTTAAACACTTTTAAGCTATATAAGACAAAAGAAATTCGTTGCACGAAACCATAGTCTGCATATGATGTGTCTTCTTAACAGTATAGTGTGGATTTATAACATATAACTCTTTTTCCCCGCTTATTCTCAATTTTCCTACACGCTAAATTAGTAACAAACCTACAAGCTCAGTTGATCCAGTATATATAGATAGTATATATATACAGTATATATACATAGAGAGATAGACATATACATATATAGATGTACACATAATGTGTATTTATATATATTGATTAAAGGGAACAGAAAAACAGAACACATGCATACTAACAGACGTACACGCAACATTGAACAAAGAACCGTTTGAATCAAAACAGTTGGAGAATAAAGATACACAAAGACATGAAATAGAACAGTTGTTTTTAATGCATACAGAACAGAGGAAAAAGAAGATACCACCTCTCTAACACAGCTTAAAGAAAAAAATCTAAACTATGTGAATAACTGATTATTCATATTATCTCACGGTTAAATTGAAAGATTTAATAGATCTATGAATAATTCCCATTTCCTCAATGATATTAAATTAAAAAGTCATTGAATTCAATCGCGTCTGCTATGAAGACGTTAACCGATGAAGTCAATAGAAGTTGATCCCGTAATATCCCAGACTGATCAATATTAGACCTGTAAACTATTACATCTTAAATCAATGTTCTAGAGATTAAGCACTCGTTCGTGATACCGAGGGTCCTAGATTCTATTTCTGGTTCCTGAGTCTTGGGTGCTTACTTTAGAGGAAGCACATACTGAGATAAAACGAATGTTAATTGCTTTCATGTTTCCATTGGTTGTTTAGGGTAGATACGTTCGTTTTTCTAATAAAAAGTTGTAGTAGCATACCTATACAGATTTAAACAGTTATGTTTAATATGACTCTTTTGGAATCCAACATTTTTAGGTTACAAAGAAAACATGAAGGACTCAAGAAAAAAAATATAACACAAATTTATTTTATTTAAACACATAAAGATTGGTACAAAGAAGCACCACACTTCGCCATTCACTTTAAGTAAGGGCTGGAATACTGTGCGGGAGCCCAAAGCGAAGCAGGTGATTTTTTTAAAGGCCGCTTCTTGAGCCTTCGACCTAGAGGTCTAATCCACAAGTCAGTGGAGCAACGTTAAAAGGTGCGGTCCCCTGGTAACCGGTGACCAAGAATACGTTCATACGCCATTTGTTCCTTCAAGATTCCGGAGCTATGTGCAGCATTGGTTTGGAATCACGGTCTTACAACTACTCTTAATGGATCCACCATACCGACCAACCCGGTTTAAATGCAATTTATTCGCTTCTTGTCCTCTTGACTTCGCAAATAACATCGTCGCGATGAGGCAGTGAGTAGGAATTCCTTGGCAGTCACCGTATACGTGTGGTTTTGATTGAAATTCAATGATAACTAAAACCCAATGTCCTTAGTTTTATTTTAAGAAAGATATCAGTAATTATTATAGAGTACTACAAAAGAGTAAATAATATTAAAAGATTCTAGATGAATATATTATATATTTATTGCACATTCATATAAGGCGAATGGTTATTTTTTAGATAACTACATACCAGATACATCTGGTACTTAAATTCAACACTGTTCATTTAGTTGTCCATATAAACACAAACAACTTAACAAGTGCATCAGTGATGAAATATTGAGTATAATGAACATATTCCTTAGAGTAATAAGATAAAAAAGAACTACAAGCTCATATGCTTGATGTTGATTAGATAGGGTATATCTTTTTACTACTATACAATTCTAATAAGATCACTGAAATGATTATTACCAAAGAAATAATCAATATAAATAAAACGAGAGACTTTTGGAAACACAGTAGTTAGAACGATCATGTAAATATAAACAAATATGTACGTAATAATGAGAAAATAATTAGTCTTCCACAAGAAGAACAATATATTGTTGCATCTGATTTAAAAGTATGTAACCATTCGTAATAGAAATAAATATAGGTTTCAAAATAAGTGCGGTAAAAAAATCTCCCATTGGCTGCTTAAAAACCGAATCCAAAGTTAGATACAACAGTTGAACAAATGGAGTGCGATAAGGTTCAGATGATTCGAGAACAGTACAATCAAGACATGAAAAAAGGAGGGAGAAAAAATTGTTTGCAGAAAGAGTATTCAATTGATGGTGTACGCTGGATAGTGACCTAATGCTCTTTTAAATCGATAGATTAACAATAAGAGTAAAATTTCAAAGTAAAAACATAGTCGTAGATACTTTGAATCACATTACACATCGTTATCTAACGATTCAGTTACCAATAAATATATACGAAACCGAAGAGTAAATTTTCTTTTTCAGATTCGAAAAATTTCCACAAAACTTTAAAGAGACTGACCAATTGCAGTCCTAAACCTCAATAAGAAGATTCAAACAATGAACACAAGATGAATTATATCGATATTCTATAGCGAATTTCACAATTTGTTGTAAAGTGAGGCTACTTACAGTTGATGAGAAGTCTTAAAATAGGATGAATCTATTCTCTGAGAACTATGGTGTTTTTAATTAATTTAAAATTATTACAAGCAATCAGATTTATTCAGATCTTTACGTGAAACAAATAAACAAATTTCGCACTTCTACTTCTGATACAATATGTTGAGGAAACTACAGAATAACTTTAGATGTTATGAAAGAATGATCTAATTTCCGAATAAAAATATATGTTTATTACTCGAACTAGTAAACATTTATGATCATGAAAGAAAATCAAATAACTTACTCATATGCTGTGTAACATTCTGCATATAAACTAAGATACCAGCGTCCAGGTGTTGGATAAGGAAAAAATAAAAAACTTCGATCTACACTTTCATTGAAAGAAGTATCAAGATTGGGTGGTCGTTCACTTCGACGTGGTGACTGACTAGAAGCGAAAACTTTTGAAGCAGCAGATGAAATAGCATGAGCTACAGATACCGCTAAACCATGATCTGTAGCTAAACGAATCCATAAAGGACATCGATGAATATCTGTAAAACCTTTTGGTGTATTGGTCAAATGTCTAGCAAAACAACCATGTAGAATAATTTGACGTGGTAAAGGCTGAGTAATGGGAAAAAAATCAAACAGTTCTTACTTTTTTAAAAATAACTCACTGTAACTGAATATATTTTTAAAAAATGTTATTCAATATTAAATGCAATTTTCGAATAATTTTGTATGCATGTTTGATATAATGACAAACGAAACATCATGAAAGGAAAAAGTTATACCTTCTTTGCTTTACAATATATAACTGTATTTAAACCAATTCTAGAATGTACTCGAAAAAATAATTATAAAGTAATATGCAAGATTGAACTATTTTGTTGGGTTACTCCGAAAACTATGTTTAATTTGATTTCCGGTCATTGTCTAACAAAGCGAATGTTACAAGAATGTGTAATGCAGGATTTTTTTTATAAAGTTAAGACAGAGCGATGAATGGAGGGTGTATGTTATTTAATCTCTGTGCAAAAATAATTCCAAATTACAATTTTAAGGCTTGGGAAGATTTACGTATTTACCACGAGAAACACAACTATAGTAACACATATACACATATAAAGATGGTAGATTTGGCAGTATCACTAACAAAAGATTCTATTTGATAATATAAAATTAGAGTAATGGGTAGATTGTTTGTAATAAGAATGACATGTTTCTAACGGTTAAGTTAGCAAAAAAACATTTTCTATATTATGTAAGTTACTTTTTCGGATGACAAATAAGTGCTTACTTTCTTACGCCTGTTACCCCTCGTCGAGGAGCATAGGCCGCTCACCAGCATTCTCCATCCAACTCTATCCTGAGCCTTCCTTTCCAGTTCTTTCCAGTTAACACTCATCCTTTTCATATCTGCTTCTATTTCCCGGCGTAATGTGTTCTTTGGTCTTCCTCTTTTCCGCTTCCCTTCACCATTCCAAGTTAGTACTTGCCTGGTGATGCAGGTTGGTGATTTCCGTAATGTATGTCCGATCCACTTCCAACAACTTTTCCTAATTTCCTCTTCAGCTGGTAACTGGTTTGTCCTCTCCCATAAAACGCTGTTGCTCATAGTATTCGGCCAGTGAATGTTGAGTATTTTGCGTAAACAATGTTTATAAATACTTGTATCTTCTTGACGATGGATGTAGTAGTTCTCCAATTTTTAGCTCCATAGAGTAGGACTGTCTTGAGGTTCGTATTGAAGATTCTCACTCTGAAATTAGTTGAGAGTTGTTTTGAGTTCCATATGTTCTTCAATTGTAGAAATACTGCCCTTGCTTTGCCAATCCTCGCCTTTACATCTGCATCAGATGCTTCTTGTTCATCAATGATGCTGCCCATGACAAATAAGTACTTCAAATTAATTAAGTTTCAATACCAAAAGGTTTTTCTATGTTCAACATTCTTTAAAAATTTTGGTGCTCGGTGAGAATGTTCGTAATTCATATAAAATTCAAACATAAATCAGTCCCTTCTAGGGATTTCGGATATCATCATTTGCAGTCAGTAATTCATTCACAACGATAGATTTCAGTTTAGCTAGAAACTCTATTCCATAACAATCAGTTAGAACTTACTAAAGAAAGGATGTTTCACTAAGTACATAAAACATGAAAGAAAGTATCAAAAATGAGCATATCCAAGGATATTGAAGACATCTACTACTAATTAACTGACAATGAATGTATATTATGACCCAGTTGTTAATAAACTACCCATAAATCGTTATTAATTTATATGAACGCTTTAGTTACCGATCAGTTTTCGATTATTAAACTAAAAACTAGCATTCTCTCGATTTTGTTTGGTGTTCCCCTAACATTGAACTGTCAGCAAATTTACTAGGTTACTTATCTAACCTCACTGGACAATGCTCAGTAAAAGCGACAATAGACTAGTCGAATTGTTTCACCTAGGTAACTGATTCCACAGAAGTAGGCTGACTTACAAAAATGCAAATTAGCAGCTAAACTAGAAAGATCATTTCTTTCATGTGCGTCCGTAGTATAGAGAAAGCCGTAAAAATGAGAAGTGATGTGAATTACAAAAAAAATTGAAATACACTAGAACCGATTAGTTTTGTAATAGGTAGCTAAGAAAATTGAATTGGTTCACAAACCAAGACAGTTTACAAAAACTTGTTTGAATTACGTGAAGGACCAATTCAAAACCCTGTATATAATAATAGCTAGAATAACTTTGAATGCTTTCACGACTGCAAAGTAATAATTAAAATACACATAAAAGAAATATACTTTCATTTTTATGAAGAAGACTAGGCTGACTAAATTTTAAAGGTTAAAACTGGGAGATAGATCGTTCTGTCAAGGTTTAAAAAATTTGTAAACTACGCTAAAAAAATCGTAAGATGATTCATTCGGCCTAAAACAACCACACACCGATCTGTGTAATATAAATTCAGAGAGAACAAATTGTTCGAACGGCATTTTGTTATCAGATTACAGAGAAAACCAGATAGAATGTTTCGTTCTGCAAAAGATTTCATCACCAAAAAATTACCAAAAGCCGAATGAAAAGGAAATTCTCCCAAGCATTTCCAAAAGAATTCATTTGATACGCAGTTATTATTATTTTTATTATATTGTGATTTAAATTCATTCCCAATATCAGGAACAATGTTACATAGGCAGCCAGATATAGTTGGTCATTAATTGTTAGAAAATAAAAGAATGTCCATTAGTATAAAATCTATCAAGAATTAATCAATCATCAATTAAAGCCAAACAGTATCGATTAGATGACAGGAAGTTGTTCAGTTTTAAGGAGCAAATTGATAAAGCTTAAATTGATGAGAGATACACTTAGACGATATTGATTTATTATTGCTTTTTAAACATAATTTATTTGAAGAGAGAGGTAACAACAATAATATTACCTAATAATAATAATAGTAGTAATAATAATAAAATTTTCAAAGGTTAACGCATCGAATTTGTTTAAAACACTAGGCACATCATCATGTGATAGATAGACATAATAAAAACGAATTCTTCGAGTAAAAATAATTATAAATTGAAAAATAGCTGACATAGATTGGACCCCACTGGTCACGATTTCACATTAGAACTTCGGGAGTTCCATCTTGAAGCTAGTCACCAGTGAGCACATGATTATTATCAGTATGAAGATTTGTGGAGGTTGTAGCATTTTCACAGTTGAATTCATGAGTAGATCTAGGCCAGACTACCATTGAAAACCTGGAAGCACTGGACAGCCATTTCGTCCTAGTATGGGATTTCTCAGAAGCGCGCATCCACGCGGTAATCGAACCCAGGACCTTCGATCTCGCGAGCTAACTCCTAACCTCTAGACCTCTGAGTCGGCATCCAACGGTGATAATGTCTGGCTCTCAATCGTTAGCAGAAAGTGAATCGACAATATATATATATTTAAGGATGAACAAGATGCATATAAAAAAAGACAAAGACAACAATAATTCATTTTAAGCTGTGTTACCTAGTGTATTTGATTATTTCTGTTTAACGCTAGAAAGATATCTATCCAAGAGACATATATTATCTCAACTTGTGTTAAATAACTTAATACATATTACTGTCAAATTTCGGTATGCCTACAAATTTAGCTTTTTGGATAAAATCTATCTGTAGAAGTCAATATTGAATGTTTTGTGGAATACATAAGCGGCTTGAGTTGACACAATGCCAAAATAGAATCAATTAGTTTATCTACTCATTACGTCAAATTATTGAGTTGGTAGCCACACAATAGTTAAGTAGTGAACTGAACCTATGATTGAATATCTGCAACCTTTTCGTGTTATAGGGTTCTAAACATTATTTCCTATTGTCGTATAAAAATAACAAGCTCTACTTAGTCATTCGAATACTTCACTTGCACTCTTGATGCTAGTAGTATACGAAAAAAAGCATTCTATCCGATCTCAACTTAATATTCAGACTATGGAAACTGACACATTTTCACAAATAGGTGAGGCGAACAAATAGACTTAATTACTACGCTTTACTCAAACAACTCCACCAGGTAACTACTCAGACAGCTTTCCAGAAGCCAGGTAAAATGCCGGAGAGACTTCGAACAATCAGCGCTCTTCGGAAAATTTCAAGAGAAATCTAGAAAACGACTGATTATGTTGTTTCTGTCTTAATCATACAATTACAGAATAGTACTAATTTTATCATGTTTCCACGAAGCTTTCAAAGTTTCAAGGTCACTCGTAGAAAACTGAAGTAATCTAGATCATAGGCTTTTAGCAATTAAGAAACAATCAGGCAGCACTGGATAGCCATTTCATCCTAATTTTGGGACTTCCCGCATCCAGCAACCACGACTCCATCAGAAGCGAAAACCGGAAATTCCGGGTCTAGCAGCTAGTGTTTTATACCACCAGATTGGCATTCATCAGTCAACACTTTTGAAATGTACAAACTTTTCAGAGAACCACATTAGCAAAATAAGTTAAAGTGGTATAGTATTCCCTAGCAGTGTGCACCCATGATGCCACAGTAGGTAATCAAACCCAGGAAATTCGTTCCACTGCACGAATGAAATATCGTGGATTGATTGGAATTAGACTTGTACACCATCGAATATCGAGTCAGCTGCAATCGTCTGAGCGAACAAAGGTTTTGGGTTGCACTCCAGGTTACAGGATCGCGGATGCGCAGTACTGAGGAACACTATACTATAACGAAACGATCATTCAGTGCTTCCAGTTTCTTAATGGTAGTCTAGCTTAGATTGACTCGTGACCTCAAAAAACTCAACAACCTCCGAAACCCCTTTAATGAAAAGGTAAACTAGCTGTTCGACTTCCTATGTTTGTGATAATCCTACAGATGATATTGATTTATGATGAAAATCATTAACAAAATATTCGATGATTTGAACAGATTCTAATATCTTGGTCAAAGTATCAAAGATGAGACGATAATGGTCAAAGTTAACAAGCGTATGAAAAGGCCAATGTCAATAGAAACATAACATTATTAATTTTCACATTTGATAAAATAATGTGACCGCGTGTTCACTAATGAGTCAATAAATGCTGACGACTTACAGTTAGTATAAAAGAAAACTAAAAAGAAGAAAGATGGTGATAAAAATGATAACATTTTATTAAATAATAACACTGGCGGCGACAAAATATTGAGATAAAAATATGTTGTATAATTAAGTGATTGCTTAGACATATGTAAGGTTTCAAAGGCGATAATTAAATTTAACAATCTTGTATGCTGTTTATTACAAAGTATTATGAATTTCGATATAGAGAACAAGAATTTACATAGTTTGAGTGTCAGAGATCTAAGAAATTGATTTCGTTTCGCCACTGTTCATAACATATTGAGAAGTAATTATATATATTGGTTATATCTGTTGGCTGATTATAAAGGGTTAATTTCATAATACTGTAAATCTATGTTTATAGTTGTTTACTGATTAAGTAATATCAAGTGCAACTCCGTTTAGTTTATACGAATCTGACTACTCATCAGTGTTAACAAAACACGTAAAATCAGTATATTTTAGATAAAATTCTAATTTGTTTTAAACGTCAAATATATCTTCATCTATCCTCTTGGTGTTCTAACTTGTGAAGTGAGATCCACAGGTTCAAGTAGTCAGTACCAGATGTCAGTTGACGCATTTTTGGACGGTCAATAAGAAGTACCATCTTCATCAATTTTCTCATCTTATTTGCTTAACGTAAATTACACGGATACGTTTTTCAAAGTAATCAGTCGTTCAAAATCAGTTGATTTTTCAGTCTTAAGTAATGTTCGGTATCACAACAAATTTTTATGCATCCGGAGTCTGGAGATGCAACCAAAAATAACTATTCAATCATATATATATATATATACTAACAGTATAAGTCATGCACACGGAAGAATGATCCAAATACTGCAGAATTCATTTGACTTAACAAAAGTAAAGATGATTTTTAATTGTATAAACAAATCACTATTACATAATCAACTAGAGTCGGTATTGAGAAACATTATGATAGACTTCTTAAAAAATGTGACTAGATGATTGAAGTACACAACTTTCAATCATTAAACTACAGGTTCTAATCCCCACCTAACTTAATTCGGTTTGAGCAACCGAGTAATATCGCTTGTCAGTATTAAGGACATACAGCTTAAAACTCAGTACATTAATCCTTAGCTGTTTAATGAGCTGAACTACTTTCCCATCTTGTCAAGATATAAATTTAGAGAGTTATATAGCATATAATGACTTAATTAGTTGTACAGTTCGCCGATTTTTTCAAGCTTCTGTAGAAAATAATCGATAGAGTAAACGAAATACAAACGACTAGTTATCGATATTCAAGAACAAATAAGCATCCTACAAATTTAAATCGATAATCATAATGGAAGCAATCATTTGAATCATAATTAGAGAGTCGCTAAAAACAAAGTTTATTACCCAATAGATAATTCACAGAATTTTCAATCAGAAATCAAAAAAAATTTTAATTTAAAACTTGACCTTAGAAAGGAATCATTAAAACATATTCAAGAAGCATTGTTTATTGATTGAGACCTAAAAGTTCATCCAAAATTATAAACGAATATATATTTATATATATCATATGAGAAAAGAGGGATTCTAGGAAAAAAACTGCGTGAATTGATAGTAATAATAATGATGATGATCGAGATACTGAAAACAGAAACAATGCATATAACAATAGGACGAAACGGCCGTCCAGTGCATCCAGGTTTTCCCTGGTGGTTTAGCTTCAATTGACTCACGCCTTCAACTATGAAAATACTAAATCTCCACAAAATACGCCTTCTGATATCATCTATATTTGTCAAATAGGAACATTCCGTTTTTTGAATTGTTGACTTATCCATAAGAATTACCTTTCACTTTTTGAAAAGAATCACTAACTAATTAGTTGAAAATGAATAACTTTATAGTTGCTTATCTAATAACAATGATATCCGATAAATATATATAGTAGTAACTAGTAGAATGAGATTGAGGTTGAAATTTTAAGATATTTGAAGACTCTGTTTTCTCCGTTTTGGTTACAATAAAGTTTAAAACTCACTGAATTATGAAGAATCATTATGTGTCGAATAAGTATTAGTTGTTAATTGTTCTCATAAATAGATTGATGAATACATTCTCAATTTCAGTATTAACTTTATTGTATATTAAATCTCAAGTGATATTGTGGCATTTAAAGTTGATAAACACTTTTGTAAAAAGAATTATTATTTTGAAGTAAGTAGAAAGGATTTTAAGTAGTAATTAAATAGCTGGTAGATGAATTCTTTAATCAATGAAGATATTCGATAACAATGATGACAGATAATGACAAGCATAGTTTAGCGAAAGTACGTTATCGAACTTAATCCATTCCCTGTTTAACGACATTGCGTTAGCAAAGATATCCAGCTAATATTTTGCGCAGTTTTAGAAAATAGTTCGATGATATTAAAAATACCTAAAGCAGAGAATTTGACTGTTTGTCAAAGTCACAATATCGTGCATACAAGTTCACTGTATGTTTTATGTATGAGACATAATTGTGTAGAATGAATACAACGAAACGGTTAAAGATATCCAATAAGAGAAGACTTGGAAACATTGCTTCAGTAAAACAAAGTCAATAAATGAGAATGTTAAGAGCATGGATAGAATTTTAATTAAGAAGAAAACGTCTATTAATAAGGTTGTGAAAGTAAATCAAATAAGATAACGCTTTTTACAAGCCTATTTGACTATCCCAGTAAACATATTCAACGATAAAATAATGTGACATCTCATCTCTAAAATCAATACGTACATATTTAATCTTTCAACCAAATTGTCATTATCGAGAGTACAATAAAATGAATGTTAACTTTTTAAACGCACTTATTTACTTTATGGTCCACTTCCGACCTGTCACTAATGATAAACCAAGTTAGAAACATCATATAAATGATCCCGTTACAATACCATTTTTCTGTCTTCTAAGTAGTTTTCACTACTCTTCATACTTGAACACGCGATTTTAGCATGTAATTATTTTATGTAAATAATTCGCTTTTGTTCACGTTTCACAAACCATTTTTGTACATTAAGTTATTTTAAAATATCAATTTGTTACTTCATTGAACAAATTTAGGATTTTATTGATATAGAAATTGATTCTGACTCAATGATCACCTACGGCCACTTCAGGATATGTAAGACAACATTCTGAGACTAGGCTAGTTTAAATAAAAAAATAAAATTCCGAAAATTTTCATATCTTTTTTAGTTGAGCTGATAATCAAGTTTTCGTGTCGATAACGCAGAAAAAATGTAATGCTAGAGTCAGATATCCTTCAAGATGACTAACAACTGATTGTTAAGTTTTTATTGAGATCATGAACCAATGAATGGTGGTCTAACATTGATCCATTCATACTGAAAAATATTTATAGAGATTACGTACTCACATGGTTTTATAGTAGAAACCCAGAGTTATATGTGCATACCGAATGGACCAGACATGGTAAGATCCGTTTTTCCGATAGGCAAGCTAACAAGTATATTACTGGTTTCTTAAATACTAGTGGTTGAAGCAACTCTTTCGCCAAACTTTTAAGACTACTAGTCATAATTTAATAGAAAACATCCATATAATTAGCAGTTTATAATCATTTTATATTTTTGTGTATTGAGGTACTTACTGTTGCAGCTAAATGCCTTGAAGTATGCCTTTTTAGGATGATTTATAAAAATATTTTCCGTCATGAGCACATAAACACATTATCATTACCTCGATCGCGAAGTTTCAGAAACTAAATTATTTGGGCAAAGATTCTTTATTGAACAATTTGGTAACCATAGTCAAGAAGATAAAAGAAATTTTTCATCTCGAACAGAAATCAACTAAGGTATAGCCATTTGGAATTAGTGAGTGCCCACTGCTGAAGAATATAAGATTAGGACAATAAGTAAAAATGCTGTGTGTTTTAAGTTTCAACAAGTATCCCGCCAAAGTCAGTTTGTATAAAATCAAAAAATCAACAGAGTGACTATTAAATTTATAATAATGTTACACTTAAATATTCAACTGACAACCTGCCATTATTTCTTACCTCTCTGTATGTTTCATTGAATTGCCAAGAAACATTTAATGCATTAAGTTGTAGAGCAATCTCAAGAACACTTGACATATCCATTACTGAATTTAATGTTATCGGTATGACTACAATATGCCATGGTTTTAAATGAAGTAGACTGGCGTATCGACCAAAATCAGGCTGTAAAACAAATCCACATAAATATACAAGAGAAGATAACAGAGAGTAAAGTTGTGTTAAACTATAAATGTACATTACTCTATAAAGGCAATCGTAAAAGTATATTTTAAAGTTTATGATAATTTATTCGTTAAGAAAAACTAAATCTTATAAAATGAGACGGTATGCAAGAATTTATATCGAAAGTCTATTGACTACATTTTTTATTTGAAAAATCATAAAGTATGATATTTCACGGAAGAATTTATTAAAACTTATTTCAAATGTATTTACTGAGGAGCGTAGTGTCAGTATATCAATCATAACAATAGGACATGGTGGAATTGTTCGACGATTCAAGTTGCCATATTTTACATCAAAATATTAGTAGTGAATTAATAAGATTTATAAAGCAAATTAGTCGAAATGTTGTGACAAAAATTAAATTTACAGAATTTGGATCGAAAAGAGCACATTTATTTGAAAAGTGAAACTGAACTCAAGATTTAGGAAAAGATAAAGGAGGATAATGATAAATTTCGGGCCGTTCCACCCACGATTTCCAACTACCGATTGCGAGTGTAAGGCGTATCTCAACTTGTATGTTTGCATCTACTAACGAAGATCAGTAAATAATGACACCTCTGTGTATGTGATGGTCGGGGATGTATAACTCATGTTTAAGCCATTTAAGTCGATGGAAATTTACGGCCTCCTTAATCAATTTCCATTCTATACTTGGCCACACCATGTATATCTTCAGAATTACTTAATTGACAGTTCCACTATAGTCGAGAAATGTCTCGAAGTGCATGTTATGAATATATTTTTATAGACAGACCGACATTTTTCTCGTGTCACCGGTAGCGTAAAGTTATAAAATTCAACCCAGACTTTGTATCCCCCAACTCACCAGAGTCGATAAAAATTCAATTGTTCAGTAAGATATTGCCTTCCTATTTTACTGTCTTATGTATTAGAAGTCTCCACCTAACTGGATTAGTATGTTAGAACCTTAAGGAACCAGACAAAACAGTTTATTTTAGTTGTTAAGATATGCAACCCAGACAACTTCGTTAAGGTAGTAGCTATATGCTATTTCGTTTGAAATAATATGATGATATTACTCTTCACTTAATAAAGAAAATAAATCATTGGTAGCAGCTGCATTACAGAGTCCTCTTGGGATACGAAGATTATTATCCACAACAATTTTGAAAACATAAAGCATTAAAAGTAAATTCTAAAACGATGCTTAATACTGATGAGACTAACTGATCAACACATATAAGGTGTTCACCTATTTTAAACTTATTATTGAAAGATTATCACAATGTAAACAAAAGCTATTCCAAATTTCCTGATAAACTCAGCAATTAATTTCAGCCGGTACTCAACAATAAAGATGTTCCGTCACATATAATGCCACATTGCTATGTTCAGTGAAGAGAAAAAATTGTCGATAGAACATAAATTAACGTTAAGAATATATGACGGAAGCTCATAGGTTCGAAATACCTTCTTGAACGTTATTTTTTATTGACATTTGTTTCTAATCTAATTGTTATCTATCAACCAAACTAGAAACTAAACTTACTCAATGAAATTGAACCACAACTGACTAATGTTGACGTTCCTTCTTTAAAAAAAACGATCGAAAAATCCGAACTTTTTTACAACTATATAAAGCTGGACAAACAGGTTACCAAACTAACAATCAGAAAATAGGTATACAAAACAATTTTGTACATAACCATATATAAATGGGAAGGGGTTTTGTAGATATTTCAGTATTTTCATAGTTAAAATCATGAGTCAATTAAAGCTAGACCACCATCGAAAACCTGGAAGCAGTGGACGGCTGTTTTGTCCCATTGTGGAACTCCTCAGCAGTGCGTATCCACGATCCCGCCTGGCGAGATTCGAACACTATGGGACGCCGGCTCAATGGTCTAGTGGTTAAGCGCTGAACCAAGTTAATGATTTTAATAACAGTGAACTACTTACTACATATTTCTAATTGTTGTAATTGTCCTAAATTTCCAATGCTTTGCTAATGTAATGCCAACTGGTGTGGAAAAACACATTTTTCCCAGTCCCTTGATTTGTTATTTATTTACGCTATTTTATCGTTGCAAAATAGATTGACTCATGATTTCAACTTTGAAAAATACTGAAATCTCCACAAATCCCCTTCTAAATATAATCATATGCTCACTAGTGACTGACTTCAAGATACATGTCCTGGAGTTCTAGTGGGAAGCAGTGACCAGTTCAGTTCAACCACGTCCGTTGTGAGATAGGAACTCACTGAAGACAATTGGTGAATGGTTGCTCAACTTCGTGGATCAGTTGAAGTTAGACATTAACACCGTTCGATGCCAGCTCAGTGGTCTATCGGTTAAGGGCTTCGACTCGAGACTGGTAGGTCCTGGGTTTGAATCTCGCGAGGCGGGATCGTGGATGCGCACTGCTGAGGAGTCCCACAATAGGACGAAACGGCCGTCCAGTGCTTCCAGGTTTTCCATGGTGGTCTAGCTCCAATCGGCTCATGATTTCAACTATGAAAACCTATATAAATGATTTATTCAAGGATCTTGTTGATCAATAATGTTAAGAGAATTGAATCTTAATCGTAACTAAAATGTGAACTACTTTCTAACAATCATATTTATCATTAAAAAGAAATGAATGATAAAAGATATAAAAATATTTATACGAAAATGTCCTAAATCAAAATACTCTTCCTATTTCGATAATAGTTATTTTTTGAAAGCTTTACAACAAAACACTTACACACACAAAGAATGTTAATATAAAAAAAAGATAATTTCAGTTCTATGAAAATCTAAAAAAGAATATAAACTGTTACATCTTATTATTGCCCACCTCCTGAAAAATAGAATAATTGTTACATCGAGTTTATTGTGATTTTAATAAAACTAAGTTGGGCGATATATATATAGGTGAAAGGGGTGATTTTGGAAGATTATCCCAATTGAGTTGAATAACTAGTTAATGAAGTTGATTTAACTCACAATTTGTAATAGCCCAACTTCTATCCGATAACATTATTCTTAGTGCCAAGAATGTAATAAAAATACATGTCGATAACGAATTACAAATATGTGTATTTGGCTTCAAATTATGTTGATTTGGTCCACAGACATTACTCAGCTGACAAAACCATAGTAAAATGTATAGATATCCTACAATCAAGTGCTTCCATCAAAGAATGGCATGAAATAGTGTTTGTACATCTATATAAGATTCCTAATAAAACTAAACACATATCTAAATGGTTGCAAAATGAATTCCAATAGTCAAATAAGATCACAGGATAGACAAATATATTCTTCCATTGCGAAACATTCGGTTGAGATTGAACATAAGGTTGACATCTAGTCAGCCTTTATAGTTTTGTACAAAAGTTTTCAAGGGCGTATACTAGGGTCTATTGAGGCCTTGGAAGTACGAAAATTGAAACCCACTTTATTCTTACTCTTAACCTACCCTGGTAATACTGATCTAGTGTGATCACATTGTTTTTGTGTACTTCATCATTATCCTTTTTTCCCACTTACCTTTTAATTTGTCTAGACATACTTTTATATGTGTGAGCAGATGGTTTGTAATGTATCGCTCAAATATATCACATAATTCTGTTAACATTTGTTTTCTCATCGCATTATCTAAATTCCTAATTTTGATTTGAGGATAAATTATTTATCATACTGAAGATATTACTTAAAAGAAAACTTAAGAGGTTACCCGGTCGAAAAAAATAAGAAATAAGATGGGATATTAAAAATCTGAAAATATTTAGATCCAAAATGTATAATACTATCACTATAAAATAAAAATAAATATTTAATATTAAGTGGAATGTAGAACATAATGGGTGAGACCATAATTCATGGACGGCCTTTAAGCGACGCTAAAGTGACCTTGAGAATGTTCACCTACTGACTAGGGCTGAATAAGGGTCATAAACCAGTGTGAGGAATCAGAATTATGATTTACAGTTGATGATTAGGCTTAGGGATTAGATTGATTTAGGACTGGCCTGCGTCAAACGCGTCGACAACTCCACTTATCTTGGAAGTCTGATCAGCCCTAATGGGTTGGTGTCTGATGAAATCTCTACACGGATTCAAAAAGCTCGTTTGCCTCTTGACAATTTAGATCACCTATGGCGAAGATGAGATATCCATCTATCAATTAAAGGACGAGCACATTGCGCTGCAGTTCGTCCTGTTCTATTTTACGGCTGCAAAACGTGGCCATTAATAGTAAAAGATACACGTAAGTTACTCGTATTTGAGCACAGATGTCTTAGAAATATTGCTCGCATCTGTTGGGATCACCGGATAAGTAATAGTGAGGTTAGACACAGGGTATTAGGGAATAATGGTAAATCAGTTTATATGGTTGTGAATCTTCATCAACTGAGATGGTTGGACAACGTATTACGTATGCCTGAACACCGATTACCACGATGCCTAATGCTGATTAGTGTTGGGGATGTTTGGAAGGATGTTAGGGGTGGCCAAATAAAAACGTGGAATCAGTGCTTGAAGTCACTAACTTCTAGTCTGAGCCATGTTGGTAGATTTTATTTATTTATTTAAACACATATATATTGGTACAACGGGCACCAGATACATATGCGCCACACAAAATAATGAAAGTAGCAAGAGAAGGGATGAAAAGATAAGGCGGACAGAAATGTACAACCAGAAGACTCTTTCAGTTAAGAAAGTTAGAACCATTCTTTATGTAGAAAGGAAAAGAAAGTTACAGCAGGATCGCCACTGGCTTCTATTCTGAGCCATATCTGATAACGTCTCTAGCCACTGTGTTGCACCATCTCTCGTAACCCAACCAGGGAGTCGTGAAGGACCAACAGAAGCTAGCCCTTTGCAGCTCTCTTTCATGCCACGACACTATGTCATACACTGACCACCTCTCCGCTTTTTCCAACCAGTCCCAGGGACGGCAAATAATGCACGACGTGGAAGCCTCTGGGACGACATTCGTAAAACATGTCCAAGCCACCGAAGTCGGTGTTTCAAGATGGTGACACCAATTGAATTATCGTCTCTGCGCCCGAACACACGATGCCGAACCTCTGCATTACTAACATAGTGTTGCCACTGTATGTCAGCAATCCTTCGGAGACAACGATGATCGAACACAGAGAGTCGTCTAACATCCTCAACTCGGAGAGGCCAGGTTTCACAAGCATAGAGCAAAACTGCTCTCACCGACGCGTTGTAGATCCGACCTTTTACAGCCAGACTAACATCACGAAGGCGCCAAAGATGGCCCAGATTGGCATAAGCCGCTCTGGCTTTCATTATACGTGCATCAATCTAATCACTCACGCCACCACCAGCACTTATATAGCTACCTAGATACACGAACTTCTCAACTACTTCAATCTGCTCACCATCCAGGGTGAGTACAGGATGAGAATCCTGCCAGTCTTGTATGCCCTCACTCTGCCTGAGGTGTTCGTATACAGGGCCTTTAAGATGTTAATGAACTTCTCAGGCACACCCTTCTTCAATAGACAATCCCAGAGAACAGTCCTGTCCAACGAATCGAAGGCAGCCCTGATATCAAGAAACACTACGATTGTTGGCCTGCGATAAGTATGACGGTGTTCTAACATTTGGCGGAGGGTGAAGATGTGATCAATGCATCCTCGACCAGAACGAAAACCAGCCTGCTCCTCGCGAGTCAATCGTTCTCGGGTTTTAAACAACCTACGAAGAATGATAGAAGCCAATAATTTGGACGCAATCGAAAGTAGACTTATCCCCCGATAGTTATGGCAGGAGTAACGTGAACCCTTTTTAAAGATAGGGACGACTATCGACTCATTCCATGATGTTGGAACACTTACCAATGGTTGGAGACTCTGGATGAAACGGTTTGGAATCGATCACAATCGCGTAGGTATATACACTATGTCTTCCCTTCAACTGAGAGGTTGAAATTTATTTGCACCTTTCTTTCTACGAACAAATTCTTTCATTATATGTAACCATTTTATATACATATAACTACGATTGAAGTAACTGCCTCTACGAATTTGGTGTTCACCTTGTTGTGCTAATTGAGATATGGTAACTTGGATCGATGCATATGTGCGCTTGGTTCTACGTTGTAGATGACTGACCGACTAGGGTTTTCATCACGAACAGATATCGGCTAAAATACTAAAACGTTATTTAGCCAAATGGATGAATGAATCTCGCGCCAAAATCCAAGACCTATTATCTTATATTTGATTGGTTCGTCCACAAATTATAGTCTCACCCACACATGAAAAAATCAAATGAGGATTATAATTATTAATCGGCTACGTACATAACAATGTAATTAGATTAGGCTTGAATGAATAGTGAATAATATATGGACTAAGATTTTAATGATTTGGTGAACGAATTTTCAGTTGTTAAAGTAAAGGAAAAGAAAAGAATGCTGATCGATAGGTGATACGATGTGATTGAGTGATAACTATTCATGAGATCGAAATATTAATGAAGACTGTCAAAAGACATGTGATCAAAGGGAAGACCATTAACCAGAACCATAAGTTTTCTTACCTAGTAGAATTATACGCTTATATACAATCGGATTTTGAAAAGGATAAACAAGATTAGATGCATGAAGCGACGAAAAAAACATCTCCACAGATTACCTATTTAACAAGAAATTAAGAGCCCACAGCTAGGTCTGATTATGTACCCCATATTCATCATGATAGTTCCTAATCAACTTCAAAAACTATTTATATTTGATGTTCAACATAGCTAGGTACAAGAAATAATGATAATAATAATAATGGCGAAAGCAATGAACTTATCTAATTTATCTAAACACATAAATATTGGTACAAAGAAGCACCAGATAAATATGCGCCTCACAAATCTCATTTGATTTGTGTGAGAGCTGTGATACTGCTCGGGTGCCCAAACTGAAGCAGGTGGTTTCATTAGGGGACCACACCCCCAGCCTTCGACCTAAAGATCTGATCCACAAGGCAGTGGAGCATCGTAAGGAGATTCAGTCCCATGTTAATTGATGACCAACGATTGATTCATACGCCATTTGTTCCCTCATGTTACTGAAGCCCATGTGCACCATTGGTTGGGAATCAGGGTTTTCCAACTCCCCTAGGTGGACGCGACGGGTCCACCAACTCGGTTAAAGCGCCAGACATTCGCTTCTCGTCCTCTCAATTTCGTAAACAACACCCCCGCCACGAGAAGTCAATGAGTAGGACTTCCCTGTCAGAGGCTATATACGCGTGACCATGTGAGAGTATTTCGAGAGGGAGAGCGAACCCTCCCCACTCTCGGCCGTACCATGGCCGTTTTCCATAAAAAGACCTTCACTTTGAATTTTTATAAAAACTTATAAGCATCAATAAATAATTGTTATTATAAGTCAAGAACGATATTAAATCACTAAAGAAGAATGAATATGAATTATTTTAAAATAAATATAATATGCTTTTTTTTACTTGATAAGTAAAATGATAAGTAAATTTCATTGGTAAATGAACACGCGTTGGAGTAGGCCATATATAACATAATGGTAAATCATGATATCCTGGATGATTAAAATCAAATAATCCAAAATTTGATGTAATCAATTGTTGTGTATTTGTTGAATAATGTGTTTTTAACCATTTTTTTTCACCATATTCTGGTGTTAATTCTGGCCAATCCGGATTAATCCAAGGTAATAATGATATACTTAAGAAAAAATGATAATTTATATTATTAGTTGTTCTGTTAAAATTGATCTTATCTTTAAATGATTTATTTTCATGTTTAATTGATAAAAATTGTGATGATAATTTTTTAGACTGTCGATGTAAATAATCGTCATGATGGAAATTTCTGGAATTTTTCATGAGTGCACAACCTAAATAGATAAATAGATCAGAATAAAAAGGTTAAGAAATATAAAGTTTATTCAATTTATAAGATGAAGTCTTTATGTTTAATTTTTCATTAAACAAAACAAAACAATAATCACATAAAATTAAAGGAAATTATTTTGATTGAGATCATGAATCGATCAGTGTTAGATCACCATTGAAAACCTATAAGCACTAGATTCGAATCCCGTGTGCGGAATCATGGATACACACTGCTGAGGAGTCCCATACTAGGAAGAAACGGCTGTCCAGTGTTTCCAGGTTCTCAATAGAGGTCTAACATTGATTGATACATGATCTCAATAAAGAACTAAACAGTCTCCACAACTGAGAGTTCATTTTGTCTTGAAGTGTGTTTAGTTAATATGACAATGAATAGAATGAGTGAATAAATAGACCTAATAATTCACTGAGCATAATTATGTAATAAACTTTACAAATCTAAGTATTGTTTAAAAATTATTGAAAATGAAAAATAACTATTTTGTCGTGCGCATAACTTGTTAATTTGTGTACATCGACGAGAAAAGAAACAATCGTCCCCTAAATCTCAAAAAGAAATAATTAATTCTAACAATATCTACGCAGTAATTTATGTCATACTGAATCTAATACTTAAGATAATTTTATCTACAAAACTTTTGAGTTGATAATTCAACTGGTAGAACAATATCAACTGATGATAGCCAAATTGAAATTCAAATATGACATGTATGCTCTATTAGACCCATCTTTTCATATTTACGATACTACATTTTAAACAATTAAAGCTGACCTACTTCAAAATTCGTATTCAACTTGGTATTTTTATTCAAAAATAAACTTCCAATATGTTCAAATTGGTCATCATTGAAGAGTATGGTGAATTAACACAATTATTTACAGGTTGGAGCATTCTATATTAGATCGAGGGGGGGTTCGAAGAATTTAGTATTTTCATATTTGAAATCATGGGTCAATTGAAACTAGACCACCATCGAAAACCTGGAAGCACTGGACGGCCGTTTCGTCCTATTGTGGGACTCCTCAGCAGTGCGCATCCACGATTCCGCACTCGCGAGATTCGAACCAAGGACCCACCAGTCTCGAGCCGGAGCCCTTAACCAATAGACCACCAAGCCGGCATCCAGAGGTGTTCTATTTTAAACTAATGAATCGTTAGTTTGAACCCTGATTCATCCTATTGAAGCTGTTAATGCATCTACACAATAACTGTATGATTTGAAACCGATTAAATAAACTGATATTTGTAAAACGAGTTATTTTCTGACTAACTATTATATATATATATATATATATATATATATATATCATGGATTTAATTTAGCTAATTACCTTACCACACAATAGGTATTATGCAATAACCCACATTATCAACAATGATAAAAAAAGAATAAATGATCTGTGTATATATCGGTTATTTTAACCTGTTCGTTTATGTGAAACTTATTATTATCAAAGTAATTATTATTTTATAATGTACATTAATAGGATAATACCCTAATTGAAATGAATTAATTTATTGAATAGTTTTGGCTAAATTACATTATATTATCCCGAACACATAATGCATCTAATAATCATATAATTAAAGGTCAATTGAATTTACATCTTTGACTAAACAAACAATTGAAGTGATAAATAATGGTAGAATAAGTCTTATGTGATATTTGTTGATATCATAATTTACATAACGATATTAAAGAAAATCACTGAGGAAAATGTTAGACATTATGAATGGAAAGTTCCAATGTTCAATTCTGAGATTGTTTAACAATGAAATGCTTACAGCTTTATAATAATACAAATTTATTTTATTTATTTATTTAAACACATAAATGTTGGTACGAAGGAGCAGCAGATACATATGCGCCACACAAATCTCATTTGATTTGTGTGAGAGCTGTGATACTGCACAGGTGCCTAGACCGAAACAGGTGGTTTTATTAGGGGGGCACACCCCAAGCCTTCTACCTAAAAGTCTGGTCCACAAGGCAGTGGAGCATCGTGAGGAGATTCAGTCCCATGTTAATTGATGACCAACGATTGATTCATACGCCATTTGTTCCCTCATGTTACTGAAGCCCATGTGCACCATTGGTTGGGAATCAGGGTTTTCCAACTCCCCTAGGTGGACGCGACGGGTCCACCAACTCGGTTAAAGCGCCAGACATTCGCTTCTCGTCCTCTCAATTTCGTAAACAACACCCCCGCCACGAGAAGTCAATGAGTAGGACTTCCCTGTCAGAGGCTTTATAGGCATTTGGGCATTTTATTTTTCTTAATGACCAATTTTTGTTTTTAAAACGAACAGATTGAATGTCAGTTATTGAAGGATAAGCTTCTAATTAGTTATCATGATATAGCGAAATTAATCTTTAATATTCATACCAGATATGATTAAAAAGTTATTTGGCCTCCAAAATATTTGAAATAAATATTTTCTATAAAATTATTGCATTACAGTGAATTAGTAATAAACAACGTAGGACCAAGCATAAATGTGTACCAGGTTAAGATGACTTACATCGCTTTAGTACAACGACATGAAAATAAGTACCAGGGCAGAGAAAGTAGTAGTACAATAGATAGCTAAAGAGGATATTAATGCAGTGTCTTTCAAGAAAATTTCGCTGAATAACGAATATTTTTAATTCTTCGTTTATAGCTACAAAAAAGAAACTAGATGGAATTTTTCAAACTTATCAAATTGAAGAAAACCACAGTATTTTGTTTCGTTTTACGTTGATTACTATCATTTACATAGTCATATATTTTACAAATTCTATCTAAACATTTAACGATTAGTAAAAGGTTACAAGCCACTGAGATCAAATCAGCCCAAAATACTATTTATCGCCTTAGTAGTATGACAGTCAGTAACTCGACTTTTACAACATTTGTATCTAATGTTCATGTGTACGAATAGTGACTGAGATTGAATTTAACTATACTTATTGGGCAAACATACAAAAAACTTACCAAATTTAGGAATTATAACCAGTCGTAAGTACACAGCAACATGAGAAGCTTGGTTAAGAATGTATAAATAATGATTTATTTGAGAACCTCGAAGTCCTAGTAAGCGGAATATCCTCTGAATGCTTGAGTCCTGAGTATAATTGAAAGCGTTTGAGGACGGTGAACCAACATTCGGTGAAAAACCGATCCCATAGTCATGTTTTTTTGTTGTTGAAGCTCTAAATCCTTGAGATTGATGTAGATAAGAAAGACTAGATGGTAAAGCTTCAACACTACCATCAATAATAATTGGACAAGCAGAAGAATCAAATATAATCTCATTAGGCAAGTTATCATGCAAAGATGATTTTCTTGTAACTTTTGAAGTTGAATTACTAGGCTTGAACACAGAAATATTTCCAAGAGATGGAGCTATTGGTGTAACAATTCTACAGTCTTCTAATATTACGTCAATACTAGTCATCTCATCCATAATGGCTAATCTAAAAAAAATTTTTAAAACAAAACAAAAGATTTAAAGATCGATAGTACAGTTTGTGAGAAAATTTTTTACTTGGATACCACTTTATTTAAACCGAACAAGAAATTCATATTAGTTAGGAAGTAAACTTTGATGAAAACAGCTGATTAAAACAAAACAAATACGTAATCAATATTGATACGAAACTTGATACTACACCTAGGATATCTCATGAGAATAACCGTCATGTTAGTTCTATGAGCTGAGAATAAGACAAGTTTTATATTCTCTTTAACGAGTATCCTACTGAATATAAAATGTTTTGTATATATCTGGCTTGTTCAAATAACTTATATTGAAAAAAAGACAGTAGTACCCATAACGTGACGTAAACTGACTTCTAACGTTTAAGCTTTCCAATAATATTTTATTACAAATATATTATTTATTTATTTACTGTGCAGCAGTTCGCTCCGTCCTACTTCATGGCAGTGAAACATGGCCAATAAGAGTAGAGGATATTCGTAGGCTACTAGTGTTCGATCATAGGTGTCTTCGAAGCATTGCTCGTATATCCTGGGACCACCGACTAAGTAATGCAGTTGTTAGAAAACGAGCATTAGGTAGGGATGGCAAATCGATTGATGAAGTAGTGAAACTTCTTCAGTTGAGATGGCTGGGACATGTGTTACGTATGCCCGACCACCGACTGCCCCGACGTGCAATGCTTCATGGTGTAGGAGTAGGTTGGAAGAAAGCTAGGGGTGGCCAGACCAAAACGTGGCACAAATCAATGAAGTCACTGACAAGTGGACTGGGCCATGTTGGTAGGTGTAGACTATCTGGTTGGGATTCGCGAGATGACAGCAACCGATGGTTAGAGACCTTGAATGACATGGCTCAAAATCGTTTGCAATGGCGAAGATGCATCCACTCTTTGTGTTCTACCAAATTCTAATCTTCTGAATTCCTCATGTCTTTATCTTTTTCTCTTTCCAAATTTATTTCACTGTACTATACTCCTTCAATAATTTCTTCAAACCCTAATCTTTTGGATTTCTGATTATTCTCCTACTACTTCTACCACTATGGGATTTGAATCGACAACTGCATCTCTGTGCTAATGTGGTATGGCAACTCGAACTGATGTACGTACGTACGAAGTTCTACGTTGTGACTGACTGACTGACTGAGGAAGTATTAGCGAATGGGGAGTTTTTCTAATAAGAAGGTGAACTGAATGCAGGATTAAACAGGTCGAACGAATCGTACATATTTCAACATTGAAAAACCACTTGTGAATAAAATGGCAGAGAAAAGGGGACTTTAAGATAGGACTGTCACATGAGTATACATTGAATTATGTGTAGAGTACTTTTCAAGACAAAAAGACAGTATGAGCAGGTGTGTATTAAGTGATACCGACATCCAGTGGCAACACCATGTTGGTAATGCAGAGGTTCGACACAGCGACGATAATGCAGTTGGTGTCACTATCTTGAAAAATCGTCTTAGGTGGTCTGGACATGTACTACGAATGTCGTCTCAAAAAATTCCACGTCGTCAACTATTTGCCGACGCTGGGATCGGTTGAGAAAAGCGGAGAAGCAGTCAGTGTATAACATGGTGTCGTGGTACGGAATAAAGCTGTACAGAGTTGGTTTGTGCTGGTCCTTCACGACTCCTTGGTTGGGGTCCTAGAGATGGTACAACACAGTGGCTAGAGACGTTATCAGACACGGTTCAAAATAGAAGCCAGTGGTGATCCTGCTGTACTTTCTTTTACTTTTAACATGAAAGTGGACGCAACTTTAACTGAAAGAATTCTTTCTAGTTGTGTTTTTCCTAACTGGACTGCTCCTCCGTTTATTATTATTATTATTTCTTTACTCAAACACAAATTTATGTTCATTGTTCTTTTTTATTATATACACTTTACATCCTGTCTCTCCACAACCTCATTGTTATTGTGTGACGCATATGTATGTGGTGCTCCCTTGTACCAATTTTTGTGTTTAGGACGATAATAATAACAATAATAATAATAAGCCGTTATATAATGGCTTTGATATGAATGCTTCATAAATTCAGAAAAGCTTAACTTCAATCAGCAATCTGAAAGTTCAAGACCTATTTTAAAATTTGTTTCAATCACCTGGGATTCATTTTATCACTCTCTAACATTGAATGACTCTACTGTATTAGTTCATTTTCGACTTGATTGTTTGAATCTTCCCATTGATGTTTGAGACTGCAATCGATCAATCTCATATTAGAACATGTGCATCCTGTGCTCCTTGACTTAAGTCAGAAGCATTTTAAGCGGAGATGGATGGTGAATAGCAATTGAATCAAGGACGCGCGTTTCGTCCTACTAGTGACTCATCAGCCGCCATCGATCTCTATTTAGAATGCTTGTGACCTGAAGTAATATAAAGGCAATCCGCGCAGGATGCATATATGCCAACAACAGACTGATCAACTGCAGTCCAAAACATCAATAGGAAGATTTAAACAAACAATACAAAATGAATTTGGAATTCACCCTACTGCAAAAGCAAGTGGCCATCAGGACTCAGTAGCTAAGTGGATAACGTGATGGCGCTTGAAACGAACGGTATTAGGTTTGTGTCCCAGAGTGAACAGCGACTCTTGGATGTAGGTTGATTCAGATGACGAGTTTTAGATACGACGAAACGCGCATCTCAGATTCCACTGATAGCCACCATTCATCTTTGCTTATAATGTTTATGACTGTGCCTTATGATTTTAGGCTCTGAAGAATACAAATTTGATACTAGTTGTTTCATTGATTTGTAGCTTACCAATCTGCAAACTATGCATTTATCTATCAGATTACGAGTACGTACTCAAAAAAGTGACCAATCAGCTATCATACATCAAAAATTAATCATGAGCTAAATACTATCGTGTAAATTTACCAACAGCAAACACTTACGTCAGCAAAAAGACCATTTACTGATGAACTTGATACAGGAAACGAATATGGTGTCGTCTAAAAAAAGCTATCTGATAACCCGATGGGATATTAACCTTCTCATAAAAGGTAAAAACTACATATCAGTCAAATGTTTGCTTTTTTATGCCTGAGGAACAACTGTTCTGGAATATGAAGCCCGAAAACAACTATCTTCAGTAGGTAATAAATATGTTGAACATAAGACTTTAAATGAAAAGTATATATTCCGACCATTCCGTCAACTCCAAAGATGTCAATAATGAAGTGAAAATTTGAGTAATTGAGAGATTCCCCTATCATTAATCGTTATGAGGAACATTTGAATCTAAACATTTGATCGTTCTACGGAAGCGGTGAGATCAAATAATGTGCTAGGTAGAACAAAATAAAGACTAAACAAGTGTAGAAAAAAGAGCTGGCTTGGAGCTTTTGAAAAATTGGAAGCGATTTATGAAAGGTATAGCTTTCATAAGTTGTGATTACGGAAGTCAATTTCAGTAATTCCCATTCGTAAACTACCATTACTGCTTTGATCTGAGGCTGAACATTTGAAAAACGGACAATAACTAGAGGAATTGTATATACCCTTCGAAATACTGTTTCTATTCGACCTAGCAACAATTGCCACCAATCAGCAGATTGAAGACCACCTAGGTCTTGCTGCTTGTTGTCAACAGTGGAACTAGGTCAACATATTGACAGGTCATTGTTTGTAAGGTTAACGCATCTCAGCTTGATATAAACCATCAAAATATATCACGTGGATCTTAGCTTGAAATGCTGTAATGTAAGCTGATGTCCTTATGTATGTAATGATACACGAAACTTGCCAAATACTATCTTTACAGAGGATGAGACACCAATATGTTGTCATAATGTATTTTTCATCACTTCGTACACTGTTTAACGTTTTTTAAACTGGTTGCTAAGTTATTCTTGGGTAATTTTGGTACATGCAGTTATAAAATAGGATAGACTTCATTCGATATAAAAGTAAAACTCATCATGCGAAGAAAAATGTCATAATGAACCATTCTCTTAAGCTTTGAAACATGTTTCTAAAGAGGAAGAATTCAAGACACAACTACACTCATGAGATAAATAAACAAGTCTAGAAAACTGACGAAATGATTCAACAATATTTATCTATAGAATTCCAGGAAATCCATATTCCTTTTAAATGAAAACCCAGATGGTAAATAAACATAGTTGCTTATAAAGGACGTACTTAAAGTTCTTGACGTCTACTTTTTCTTTAAAGTCAACTTACAGGAATAAGTACAAACGCTATCAAAACAAGCAAAATATAATAGCACTTTTGGTCAAACTAATTGCTGAAAGACTTACAAATATAATCTGCCTTCCATGGGAGCCAGTTCCAAGTCAAATGGTGACACCAAGAATGACAAATTTCTTATATGGTATGGATTATTGCTGTTTGATTCTGTTGACGAACTTGGAGGTATCAAAGAACTGTGCATAGGTTGGTCTGCAGTAGAATGAACCAAAGAATGATAAAAAGGTTTGCGTCGTTTTTTCCGATGGAAAATTTTTTCTTCTGAATGGGAAGCGAATATTGTTCTACTGGGAAGCTCATGAATGCCCGCAATGAATGGTTTCTCATGAACAATTGACTGATTGTGTCTTAACTGAGCATTATAATTGTATGAAATATGTCCATCAATATAAGAAATGTCGTGTCTGACAGATGGTAATAACCATGCTATGCATTCTTTCTAAATACGAAGTTCATAAAATATACAAACTTATAGTTAGAAACCAAAATATCCAATGGTATTACGAAAATTCAAAAAATGAATACCAGTGTTTCACTTACTAAAACAATGACCATGAAACTATAAGGAGTTTTACTTAGCTGTTAAATTAGTAAAATCAAAGGTTATCTCATTTGAGATACATGGTTTCCATTTAGAACAGTTTATAAGCTTGAGGACAATAGTCCTAGAAACAATCATATTCGATGGCATCATTTTTTAAATTATTTACAAAACGCTTGATATGTCGTACAAGTCTGTAACAAGAAAACCTGTGGATTTAAAACTACGGGAAGCTTACTTCACTTTCGGTCTAAGATTTCAAATGGATCATAAAAGCGTATTTTCAAGAATTTGACGAATATATAATAAAAAGTGAATAAGGACTCTAAATATTATGATGAACTGTTTGAAGCAAAGCAGAAATGGCAACCCGATTGGCTACCTACATGGCTGAGAACCTTTCTTTGACCATTGAGGTTGGAGTGGGAAGACAGATTAACTACTGCACCTGTATGTGGAGACCCCTAACAGTCTGATTGACGAAACAGTAAGACCTTACTTAGTCGCCGGAAAATAGCGAAACATGTCGTCAGGTCTTATCTCGCATGAGGCTAAGTGGCTACAGTTTCAGTAAACAATATGCACCACTAGATTGAGACGGACACTGTGGAGCGGTGACTTTGTGCTCAACATACTCGGTTGCCGATTCCACGTACAAAATCCACTCCGCCAAATTTAGAATGGACATGTAGCTATATTATATCAAAAGGGACTAAAGCCGAGTTTGGACACGTTTGCTTGACAGATGAGTGGTTGTTTGAACAGACACTAAATATAAACAAACATAGCATGAAGCTTCAATGACATAGAGTTGAAGAAATTTTAGCATTCCCCACCAAAACGAGTGACCACAGCTGCTCCCAACACTGAAAAACAAACTGAACAATAGCACGTTATGAAAATACGTTCTATGATTTCAAATCATGGTAGAAATTGACAAATTCAAAAGTCTTACTGTAGCTTTATTAATCATCGAAGGCTGGTAAAAAGAAAAAGCCGGACTGAATGATGATCACACTCACCTGAAAAGAGGTGGTCATGTAAGCACCGATATACCACATGCCAACAACAGGCCCATTAATATTTATGTCAATGTTTGCTGCATTTCGAAGATTAATTGACCTCACATGGAATTGAGAGTAAGTCCCACAATCTTCCGAAGTAAACGTCAAGTTAAATGATTCCTTAATCGGTATGTTTAGCGAATGAGAGTTTATAGGCTCCAAGATACCATTTGGTACTGAGACACCGAATGGTCTGACTACAGGAAAAGATCCTGAACGAAGAGTTCTAGAAAAAGATAAAAATTGTAATAACAAGGCACACAACCAACAAACTAATGTTTTCAGGATTGCAACCATGAAAGGTGATGGATATTGAGAGTTTGGTAACGAATGTGTGTTGTGGTATGGGGAAATTAAAATAAACGATATCGTTTGTAGACAAGAAACTACGAAGAGCGAAATGAGGTAGCTTCTCCGTTTCTAGAACTGCAAGCAACAGTAAAAAACCAACTGAAGGACTCACGTGAGAAAGTTGAAGATAGTATTAAGTTCAGAATAAATAGAATATGCCACAACATTGTCAAAAAGCGTTATCCCACTAACACAACTAAATGACGCGCATTATATATCAAGGTAATTGCGTTTGAAATGTACTTAGTAAAAACTTGAACATTACAATGGTTTACTAGAAAAACGACAATTTTTTAGATGAACAACTTCATTTTTTACAGAAATTTGTTGAAAATAGTTGTTTTTTACTACAATAACGGGTTCGTGGATTCAAATTTCTGCTTTGAGGACAGAGCTCAGAGAAAGTTCGTAAATTCTCTTCTGCCATGCTCTTATGCTCATTTATTCTTCATTCGAATAGGCTTAATCAATCTAAGAAATGGGTTCATCGTGAATTTAGTCACATCAGATTAATTGACATGTCCTCAAAAATCAATTGGTTCAAATTTTTGTACATGGAATAAGTTTTCATTCCTAATACCAGCAGATTACTGGTGCTTGTGGGTAATTTTGTGAGTATAACAAACGATTAAGGGGAAAATGTTAGTATATTGGGATGACATACTCTTTAGAGTCTTCACAAATAGATAAAATTACCTGTTGAAGGAGTAAAGGGAATTTGTTTTGGGGACCCTGGATAGTGGAGATTTTCGCATCTCAACTACTCGTAAGGAGTGGAGGTTTCAAATACAATCCATTTCGATGCGTTGTTTCTCTAAATGACATTGAAACTGAGCTTAAGCATTTTAGATCCTGTTCAAGAGTGTTAAGAATGCTTTAGGTCAGCAAAATATTCCCTCGGAAACGTGTAAACTTTGATTGGCAAAGATCCGGCTATATGAAAGGTTGTTCATATGACTTAAATTTGGGCCTCCGAACTGATTTCTCAGCCCGTCTTTGAATGCGTCCCAGAGTATCCCTATCCTTCTGGAGTGAAAGCGGAAACGCAAAATATCCGTATTTTAAATGAGGTTGGACAAAACTTAAAAAGTAACTGGTTACCTCAGCTGCTAAACTGGTGGGAAATGATCTTCAAAGCTACCACTTCAGGGTTTAATAATTCATTGTGAATCTTTGAATAAATAAGTTCCAAGAAAGTTAGTTCTTTTTCAGCCGGTGACACTCCTAAAGATCATTCACTTGAGTTGTATGTTTTTCACGGTATGCCACCGCATGTCCCGGTATTGAACACTAAGAGATCCCACTAGGACATTCTGCGATCCAAATAAGCGAGTGATTTGCTCTCACGTTGCAAAATCGACTACTTAGACAAAATCGAAATCAGTTTATCGACGGTGGAATGATATTCATCTTCTTCAACTTATTAATAAGAGGCTAATAAATAACTGTATCACAAGCTTTAATAGATCAAGATATTATCATCATATTCACTTTGAATGAAGATTGATGATCAATCAGTAAACAGAATCCGAGAGCCTGGTGATGCACCAAGGGTACTTCTTGAAACTATGTTCTCGAGCTGAAAAGGAGTTTGTAGATAAAACGTATTCGTGAAGGCCATTGTATATCACCGTTCCCATTATCCATGAGTGTATTAGAAGCAATAATACTGACCGGTAACTTTGTGGTTAATTGAATCAAACTCCTTTGGAAATTGCTTAGATGTGTGCCAGCTTTCAATTGGCATAGATCGCGTCTTTGACATACGAATGTGAGAACATTACAGTGAATAGTGTTGTCAAGATTGAGTCCGCTTCTTACGGCAATGGCTTAATGAACAATGTCTGGGCTATGCGGCATATACTTTGTTAGATTCTAGGGGTTCAGAAACACCAGTTCAGTGCTCGAGTTCACTTCTGAGGCACCCGTTGGGTTCCAGTTCGATTTCTCTTTGATGCAGATTGTATGAGACTATTTGAATGATGATGGCTTTAAGACCTGGTAACAATGCGACAAGGATTTTGGCTTGTTGAGGAGAGACCTCTTGATTCAACAGGCTTTTTAATTGGAAACAGATTGATCACTCAGTTTAAACTCAGACCAACACCGATTTCTTCTAATGCACTGGTCCCATGGTTGTTCAAACTGCCTATCTACACCATTGTCACTGGTGCGTTTGGATTTGCTTGACCGTATCTGTTTTAAAGGGGGATTCCGTATAACTTAGGGTCGTCTGAACTTACAGGGACCGTTTGTGGATCAGACAGATTTGTAACACATAGAATCGTGTGCAATAAAAATCCTCGAGCACCTACATCAATCTGAGGAAAAACTTCACAATCTACCCACTGTACATTGACTTTTAAATGTAACTCGCACGGCTGCTAGAGTCTCCAACACCTATTGTCTGAAGGGTGAGTTAGTCCAGTTTCATTGGCGAAACCGAAGGTTGGAGAGGCATGAAAACGTTTTTTCATAGGGACCAGGACTCCAAGACTATCAAATAGGAGTTGTTCGTCTATGGGGTCGCAATCCAACGTGGACGTGCAGCCAATCTATCTCATGTTAACCAGTACAATGGTTTATCAATGAAGAGTACTAATTCACCTCTCATACTGAATGGTAGTGTCTAGTCAGAAGACTGGTGACCTGAGGGACATTTCATTGTCAGTCACAATACTTTGGAAATCATCAACTTAGTTGATCACTCTGTTCTGTTTTGTCAGTCTACCCATTTTACTTGAAGGTTTAATTCTAATATTATTAATCTGTTATAAACTAGGATTCAACGATAAATAAACACTTTAAAAAAGATATCATGTGATCGTAACGCAAACTTCAAACGTATTGTAATGTCTTTGTTCCTCGATCGTGGGAAAACTGAAATGATAGATTCAGTTGTTCTGTATCGATGCTTTTGCCTGGAAGCGCTCCAAGTGTTCAATGAAGAGTTCATCAATCTTTCTGAGACCGCGTGTTGTTCAATTGAATTACCCAACATTTGTAGGTATCTGGTTAGAGTTATATGCACTCATATCCTATAGCTAAGAGGTTTCATCCTTCTTAAAGTGAGTTTTCCTGAACACACGTACAATTAAGGCGCTGACTCGACGGAAGCTCGGAATAGCTGGGTTTATGCTAGAATGTAAAGTCAGCGACTCCGTGTAGAAACAGCCAGACGCCGTCCACGTTGGATTGCGACCCCATAGACGAACAACTCCTATTTGATAGTCTTGGAGTCCTGGTCCCTATGAAAAAACGTTTTCATGCCTCTCCAACCTTCGGTTTCGCCAATGAAACTGGACTAACTCACCCTTCAGACAATAGGTGTTGGAGACTCTAGCAGCCGTGCGAGTTACATTTAAAAGTCAATGTACAGTGGGTAGATTGTGAAGTTTTTCCTCAGATTGATGTAGGTGCTCGAGGATTTTTATTGCACACGATTCTATGTGTTACAAATCTGTCTGATCCACAAACGGTCCCTGTAAGTTCAGACGACCCTAAGTTATACGGAATCCCCCTTTAAAACAGATACGGTCAAGCAAATCCAAACGCACCAGTGACAATGGTGTAGATAGGCAGTTTGAACAACCATGGGACCAGTGCATTAGAAGAAATCGGTGTTGGTCTGAGTTTAAACTGAGTGATCAATCTGTTTCCAATTAAAAAGCCTGTTGAATCAAGAGGTCTCTCCTCAACAAGCCAAAATCCTTGTCGCATTGTTACCAGGTCTTAAAGCCATCATCATTCAAATAGTCTCATACAATCTGCATCAAAGAGAAATCGAACTGGAACCCAACGGGTGCCTCAGAAGTGAACTCGAGCACTGAACTGGTGTTTCTGAACCCCTAGAATCTAACAAAGTATATGCCGCATAGCCCAGACATTGTTCATTAAGCCATTGCCGTAAGAAGCGGACTCAATCTTGACAACACTATTCACTGTAATGTTCTCACATTCGTATGTCAAAGACGCGATCTATGCCAATTGAAAGCTGGCACACATCTAAGCAATTTCCAAAGGAGTTTGATTCAATTAACCACAAAGTTACCGGTCAGTATTATTGCTTCTAATACACTCATGGATAATGGGAACGGTGATATACAATGGCCTTCACGAATACGTTTTATCTACAAACTCCTTTTCAGCTCGAGAACATAGTTTCAAGAAGTACCCTTGGTGCATCACCAGGCTCTCGGATTCTGTTTACTGATTGATCATCAATCTTCATTCAAAGTGAATATGATGATAATATCTTGATCTATTAAAGCTTGTGATACAGTTATTTATTAGCCTCTTATTAATAAGTTGAAGAAGATGAATATCATTCCACCGTCGATAAACTGATTTCGATTTTGTCTAAGTAGTCGATTTTGCAACGTGAGAGCAAATCACTCGCTTATTTGGATCGCAGAATGTCCTAGTGGGATCTCTTAGTGTTCAATACCGGGACATGCGGTGGCATACCGTGAAAAACATACAACTCAAGTGAATGATCTTTAGGAGTGTCACCGGCTGAAAAAGAACTAACTTTCTTGGAACTTATTTATTCAAAGATTCACAATGAATTATTAAACCCTGAAGTGGTAGCTTTGAAGATCATTTCCCACCAGTTTAGCAGCTGAGGTAACCAGTTACTTTTTAAGTTTTGTCCAACCTCATTTAAAATACGGATATTTTGCGTTTCCGCTTTCACTCCAGAAGGATAGGGATACTCTGGGACGCATTCAAAGACGGGCTGAGAAATCAGTTCGGAGGCCCAAATTTAAGTCATATGAACAACCTTTCATATAGCCGGATCTTTGCCAATCAAAGTTTACACGTTTCCGAGGGAATATTTTGCTGACCTAAAGCATTCTTAACACTCTTGAACAGGATCTAAAATGCTTAAGCTCAGTTTCAATGTCATTTAGAGAAACAACGCATCGAAATGGATTGTATTTGAAACCTCCACTCCTTACGAGTAGTTGAGATGCGAAAATCTCCACTATCCAGGGTCCCCAAAACAAATTCCCTTTACTCCTTCAACAGGTAATTTTATCTATTTGTGAAGACTCTAAAGAGTATGTCATCCCAATATACTAACATTTTTCCCTTAATCGTTTGTTATACTCACAAAATTACCCACAAGCACCAGTAATCTGCTGGTATTAGGAATGAAAACTTATTCCATGTACAAAAATTTGAACCAATTGATTTTTGAGGACATGTCAATTAATCTGATGTGACTAAATTCACGATGAACCCATTTCTTAGATTGATTAAGCCTATTCGAATGAAGAATAAATGAGCATAAGAGCATGGCAGAAGAGAATTTACGAACTTTCTCTGAGCTCTGTCCTCAAAGCAGAAATTTGAATCCACGAACCCGTTATTGTAGTAAAAAACAACTATTTTCAACAAATTTCTGTAAAAAATGAAGTTGTTCATCTAAAAAATTGTCGTTTTTCTAGTAAACCATTGTAATGTTCAAGTTTTTACTAAGTACATTTCAAACGCAATTACCTTGATATATAATGCGCGTCATTTAGTTGTGTTAGTGGGATAACGCTTTTTGACAATGTTGTGGCATATTCTATTTATTCTGAACTTAATACTATCTTCAACTTTCTCACGTGAGTCCTTCAGTTGGTTTTTTACTGTTGCTTGCAGTTCTAGAAACGGAGAAGCTACCTCATTTCGCTCTTCGTAGTTTCTTGTCTACAAACGATATCGTTTATTTTAATTTCCCCATACCACAACACACATTCGTTACCAAACTCTCAATATCCATCACCTTTCATGGTTGCAATCCTGAAAACATTAGTTTGTTGGTTGTGTGCCTTGTTATTACAATTTTTATCTTTTTCTAGAACTCTTCGTTCAGGATCTTTTCCTGTAGTCAGACCATTCGGTGTCTCAGTACCAAATGGTATCTTGGAGCCTATAAACTCTCATTCGCTAAACATACCGATTAAGGAATCATTTAACTTGACGTTTACTTCGGAAGATTGTGGGACTTACTCTCAATTCCATGTGAGGTCAATTAATCTTCGAAATGCAGCAAACATTGACATAAATATTAATGGGCCTGTTGTTGGCATGTGGTATATCGGTGCTTACATGACCACCTCTTTTCAGGTGAGTGTGATCATCATTCAGTCCGGCTTTTTCTTTTTACCAGCCTTCGATGATTAATAAAGCTACAGTAAGACTTTTGAATTTGTCAATTTCTACCATGATTTGAAATCATAGAACGTATTTTCATAACGTGCTATTGTTCAGTTTGTTTTTCAGTGTTGGGAGCAGCTGTGGTCACTCGTTTTGGTGGGGAATGCTAAAATTTCTTCAACTCTATGTCATTGAAGCTTCATGCTATGTTTGTTTATATTTAGTGTCTGTTCAAACAACCACTCATCTGTCAAGCAAACGTGTCCAAACTCGGCTTTAGTCCCTTTTGATATAATATAGCTACATGTCCATTCTAAATTTGGCGGAGTGGATTTTGTACGTGGAATCGGCAACCGAGTATGTTGAGCACAAAGTCACCGCTCCACAGTGTCCGTCTCAATCTAGTGGTGCATATTGTTTACTGAAACTGTAGCCACTTAGCCTCATGCGAGATAAGACCTGACGACATGTTTCGCTATTTTCCGGCGACTAAGTAAGGTCTTACTGTTTCGTCAATCAGACTGTTAGGGGTCTCCACATACAGGTGCAGTAGTTAATCTGTCTTCCCACTCCAACCTCAATGGTCAAAGAAAGGTTCTCAGCCATGTAGGTAGCCAATCGGGTTGCCATTTCTGCTTTGCTTCAAACAGTTCATCATAATATTTAGAGTCCTTATTCACTTTTTATTATATATTCGTCAAATTCTTGAAAATACGCTTTTATGATCCATTTGAAATCTTAGACCGAAAGTGAAGTAAGCTTCCCGTAGTTTTAAATCCACAGGTTTTCTTGTTACAGACTTGTACGACATATCAAGCGTTTTGTAAATAATTTAAAAAATGATGCCATCGAATATGATTGTTTCTAGGACTATTGTCCTCAAGCTTATAAACTGTTCTAAATGGAAACCATGTATCTCAAATGAGATAACCTTTGATTTTACTAATTTAACAGCTAAGTAAAACTCCTTATAGTTTCATGGTCATTGTTTTAGTAAGTGAAACACTGGTATTCATTTTTTGAATTTTCGTAATACCATTGGATATTTTGGTTTCTAACTATAAGTTTGTATATTTTATGAACTTCGTATTTAGAAAGAATGCATAGCATGGTTATTACCATCTGTCAGACACGACATTTCTTATATTGATGGACATATTTCATACAATTATAATGCTCAGTTAAGACACAATCAGTCAATTGTTCATGAGAAACCATTCATTGCGGGCATTCATGAGCTTCCCAGTAGAACAATATTCGCTTCCCATTCAGAAGAAAAAATTTTCCATCGGAAAAAACGACGCAAACCTTTTTATCATTCTTTGGTTCATTCTACTGCAGACCAACCTATGCACAGTTCTTTGATACCTCCAAGTTCGTCAACAGAATCAAACAGCAATAATCCATACCATATAAGAAATTTGTCATTCTTGGTGTCACCATTTGACTTGGAACTGGCTCCCATGGAAGGCAGATTATATTTGTAAGTCTTTCAGCAATTAGTTTGACCAAAAGTGCTATTATATTTTGCTTGTTTTGATAGCGTTTGTACTTATTCCTGTAAGTTGACTTTAAAGAAAAAGTAGACGTCAAGAACTTTAAGTACGTCCTTTATAAGCAACTATGTTTATTTACCATCTGGGTTTTCATTTAAAAGGAATATGGATTTCCTGGAATTCTATAGATAAATATTGTTGAATCATTTCGTCAGTTTTCTAGACTTGTTTATTTATCTCATGAGTGTAGTTGTGTCTTGAATTCTTCCTCTTTAGAAACATGTTTCAAAGCTTAAGAGAATGGTTCATTATGACATTTTTCTTCGCATGATGAGTTTTACTTTTATATCGAATGAAGTCTATCCTATTTTATAACTGCATGTACCAAAATTACCCAAGAATAACTTAGCAACCAGTTTAAAAAACGTTAAACAGTGTACGAAGTGATGAAAAATACATTATGACAACATATTGGTGTCTCATCCTCTGTAAAGATAGTATTTGGCAAGTTTCGTGTATCATTACATACATAAGGACATCAGCTTACATTACAGCATTTCAAGCTAAGATCCACGTGATATATTTTGATGGTTTATATCAAGCTGAGATGCGTTAACCTTACAAACAATGACCTGTCAATATGTTGACCTAGTTCCACTGTTGACAACAAGCAGCAAGACCTAGGTGGTCTTCAATCTGCTGATTGGTGGCAATTGTTGCTAGGTCGAATAGAAACAGTATTTCGAAGGGTATATACAATTCCTCTAGTTATTGTCCGTTTTTCAAATGTTCAGCCTCAGATCAAAGCAGTAATGGTAGTTTACGAATGGGAATTACTGAAATTGACTTCCGTAATCACAACTTATGAAAGCTATACCTTTCATAAATCGCTTCCAATTTTTCAAAAGCTCCAAGCCAGCTCTTTTTTCTACACTTGTTTAGTCTTTATTTTGTTCTACCTAGCACATTATTTGATCTCACCGCTTCCGTAGAACGATCAAATGTTTAGATTCAAATGTTCCTCATAACGATTAATGATAGGGGAATCTCTCAATTACTCAAATTTTCACTTCATTATTGACATCTTTGGAGTTGACGGAATGGTCGGAATATATACTTTTCATTTAAAGTCTTATGTTCAACATATTTATTACCTACTGAAGATAGTTGTTTTCGGGCTTCATATTCCAGAACAGTTGTTCCTCAGGCATAAAAAAGCAAACATTTGACTGATATGTAGTTTTTACCTTTTATGAGAAGGTTAATATCCCATCGGGTTATCAGATAGCTTTTTTTAGACGACACCATATTCGTTTCCTGTATCAAGTTCATCAGTAAATGGTCTTTTTGCTGACGTAAGTGTTTGCTGTTGGTAAATTTACACGATAGTATTTAGCTCATGATTAATTTTTGATGTATGATAGCTGATTGGTCACTTTTTTGAGTACGTACTCGTAATCTGATAGATAAATGCATAGTTTGCAGATTGGTAAGCTACAAATCAATGAAACAACTAGTATCAAATTTGTATTCTTCAGAGCCTAAAATCATAAGGCACAGTCATAAACATTATAAGCAAAGATGAATGGTGGCTATCAGTGGAATCTGAGATGCGCGTTTCGTCGTATCTAAAACTCGTCATCTGAATCAACCTACATCCAAGAGTCGCTGTTCACTCTGGGACACAAACCTAATACCGTTCGTTTCAAGCGCCATCACGTTATCCACTTAGCTATGAGGATGAGTGTCAGACTATGCTTATTACTCTTGGTCCTTCTTTATCTTGCGTTGGTTGACTGGATTATGAAGATCTCCCTATCTCAGTGCAAGCATAGTATATGATGGACTGCATACATTAGGCTAGACAATTTGGACTTCACATATGACCTATCCCTTCTTCCGCATACACACCAAATGCAGTTCAAGACAACCAGCGAAGCAGCAGGTTCGGCATCTGTAGGCTTCAACATATTTAAGGAAAATAGCAAGATCATCAAATACAACACGGAGAACAACAATCCAATCACACTTGTTGGAGATGCTCTGGAATATGTTGAATCTTTAACTTATCTAAGATGCATCATCGATGAACAAGTAAGCATACCTATATTTGGACAACATATGGAACTCAAAACAACTGTCAACAAATATCAAATTGAGAATATTCAATACGAACGTCAAGACAGTTCTACAGTACGGATCTTGAACACGGAGAACTACCATAACCATCATCGAAATAGTACAAGTACTTATAAACTATTATCTACGTAAGGTACTCAATGTCCGTTGGCCGGATACAAAAGAACGAAAGAAAAAATACCCAGAAATATGAAAGATATTTCACTATATTTAAAAATGAATAATAACATTGCAAGGAGAGAATCGCAGATCATAATTTGTTTTGACAAATCACATGCTAAACACTAAAGATGCTACAGGTAACAAGATGCATAGCAGAATATACCCGCTCATGATTCAGTGCGAATGCGTGTCCGTGCACTATCAGCTGGGTAGTATCCGGTAAAACTAATGTGGTCAGCATCAAGTGCCGAAGACGTACAGAACTATTTATTTTAGGGATTAATTTACTGCTACAATATTTTAGTTTCACATAATTCATAAAAGTAAAAATTTTAAATCGTTTATAAGTATGTATAGGTAGAAGGCTAATCTTAAGTAATGTATGACGGTTCTTGAAGATGTAAAACGGCTGAGAATTTAGAGTTGGAATTAACAGAAGTGAATATCATGTAAGTTCACTAGAATACTGAAAATTTAAAGACTTCCTTCTATCTGAAAAATTACGATTATTTACTTAATTCACCTTATTATGCAAGTAATGAACAACTCCATATCTGGCACTAGAAAACTGACTCCTTCTAATACCAAATAAGCCAAGAGATATATATGACGGTCACTACAAGTTGATTCAATAGTGTTAGTGTGAATACTGGTGCAGCTGCTTAATAGTATCGAACATATTTTAAGACTTGACTTTTTTCAGTGTGTACAGAATCGAGTAGGCTCAAAATACAGCTACTAAGTGAATCCTCATTTAACACTAAGATCTATATTATCAGTCTAAGGTGAAAAACACCATACAACAGAAAGTCATTGCGTTCTTATAAGAAACTAAACAACGATTATGAAAATATATCTTCAGCTGCTATTCCATGATACGGTACATATTAACGATACATGTATGACTCAGCAACTAATTAAGAGTATTCAAAAATTACTTAAGTTCATTACGTTTAGCAAATAAAGAAAAGTGTACCATGTGAGTAGTTTCTTTGTTCATATTTTCAAAGTTCAATTTTTATCGTATTTCGTAGATGTTGAAATCTTACTGTACTTTTTTGCACAACTACACATCTAAAATTCAGTCTGCTTGTGATAAAAAATAGGTCGTTAAAACACAGTCTAGCAAGTTGAATAATATTACTAAGCCATCTACATTATTATTGATCATTGTAAAGTCTCCGACTTCAGTGAACTGAAGACACCTTCAATTTTGAAAGGTATCTCCAAGCGGATTATATACGTAGTCAGATTGGATTTTAACATATTCGTCACGTTACATGTAACAGGACTTCTGTATGTCTTTTTATTACATGTGCTGTTCGCTTGACATATATAAACACCGAATTCTTACACCTGTAGTTGATAGGCCAAAAAAAGTGGAAAAATTTGTTTTATTGTCAGATTGCTGTAAGAATGTTTTTACCGACGAGCGTTGGAACTGAGTACCAGCATGTGGATTCTCAGATATTAAAACCAATGAGTTTTTTGAGTAAATATATAAAATGATGATATCCAATAAACTGATAAAACAAAGTTACATAGAGTATGGCACTTTATTAGTGTAGGGGGTTTGCGGACATTCTAGATTTTTGCAGTATAAATCACAAACTGATCCTAGCTAGACCACTACTGAAAACTGGGAAGTAACAGATAGTTATTTTGTTCTAACTTCTTAGCAATTCCGGATTGCACTTCCAACTAAAAACAACCATAAATATGTACAATTACGAAGATCATGATGAAAAGGCAAGTTCACAAACGACAATATGCATTTGGTAAATTAGGTCACTAGATGTCAGTAAGGCTTTCTGAATACCTAACTCCCTAGGCTGGGTTTATTTACGGTACTGTATTTTATTGGCCTCTACAACATATTTGCTAGATTTTTAGATTTCCTCCAGAATAAATGCCAATTAAAAATTCTGAGACTTTCGAACATGACTTCAACATAAGATCGATATTGTTAGTCACATTAAACACGATATAAAATAAACTCAATGAAGTGTGATTCTCTCCCTCCAAATGCAAAATATTACATCAGAATTGGCTTGTATCATCGCCTGAATTAATGATAGGGAAAGTAGTTGGACGCATCGATCGCTTTACTTATCTTGAGAGTCTCATTGGTCCTGGTGTTTCGGTGTCTCAAGAAATTTCAGCACAAATTCGCAACATGAGTCACTTGTGACGTAGGTAAGATATCCGTCTTCTAACTGTAAGACGAGTTTACTGCACAGCAGTTTGCTCTATCTTATTTTATGAATGTGAAACATGGACACTAAAAATGGAGGATATTCGTAGGTTACTGACATTCGATTATAGGTATCTACAGAGCATAGTGCGTGTATTTTGGGATCAGAGAATGAGTTACTTATGTTACGTATGTCCAACCATTGACTACTTCGACAGACGGTAATTTCCATGACAGTTTGGAAGAAAGCTAGGGGTGGCCAAACCAGAATATGGCACCTGTTCATGAAATCACTGACAGTTAGACATAGCGATGGATGTGGACTACCTTGTTGGGGTCTGCGTGACCACCATAATTAAAGACAATGAACTTTGGATGACATGGCTTGAAATCGCTTGCTGTGGCACAGGTGCATCCGTTTATTGTCTTCCCCCAAATCCTGAGACTCTAGATTTGTCATAATCTTTATTCCACTAACTTATTTTTTCTTAAACCGTATCATAGATGCTTAACATTTCCTATTACCACTGATATTGTTATTATCTCTTCTATTCTGGCCTGACAATTCGAACTCTGCTAACGAGGTATGACAGCTTGAATCGATGTACATACGTACGAGGCTCTACGTTGTCACTGACTTACTGAAACTACAGATAAAAGAAACTCAATCTGTTTGAGATAGTCAGTCAGAACCAGTTGTGCTGAATTATACGTATTACTTGAAGCGAATTGTGGAGGAAGATGTTTAAAATCTTTTTCATTGCAACGAACTGAAAACCAGAAATATAGGCTGAGGATCTATTAGATATTGAACAGAAGACTTTATAATAAATTAGTTTCCATCTATACAATAAGAACTGCATTTACACAACCTTCATTTTCAGGATTATTAGTTACTTGAGCATATTTACCCCAGACAACTTTTCCACTCGGTGTGACCAAACCAAGATCGCTGACGTTCACCTACATAAGTAAAAAAGATAAAATGACGTTATTCGCCGCAGATATCAGCAATCATCAACCTAATTAGTGGAAAATAATACTCATGTCAGTAATTTTCACTGACAAATGCCCTGGTACGGCCGAGAGTCCACTCTCCCTCTCGAAATGCTCTCAAATGGCCACGCGAATATATAGCCTCTGCCAGGGAAGTCCTACTCACTGCCTTCTCGTGGCGGGGGTGTTGTTTACGAAAGTGAGAGGACGAAAAGCGAATGTCCGGCGCTTTAACCGGGTTGGTGGACACAGAGTCCACCTAGGGGAGATGGAAAACCCTGATTCCAATCCAATGGTGCACATGGGTTCCTGAATCTTGACGGAACGAATGGACCTCTTGTTGGTCACCGGCTACCATGGGACTTCATCTCCTCACGATGCTCCACCGCTTTGTGGGTTAGACCTTAGGTCAAAGGCTCGGTGTGTGGTCCCCTAAGAAAACAACCTGCTTCGGTTTGGGCACCCGGGCAGTATCACAGACCTCACACAAATAAATGAAATGATGACTTGCACTGACAATCCTACTTACACGCTTACTATATGACAGACAATCTGCACTATTATTATCATTTACCATATAGCTAATTCACCCCCTTTTACTCCCAATTTGTGTACCCATGCTCTTCAACTTATGCAGCAGCTCGCCCATGGTGGAAACTATGTTCAATCTAAACGATCTCTAGTCACTGTCTGGTTGAAAGTGAATGCCTCCACCGATTACGAATACTGAAATAGTTTTTCTGAAACCATGTGCACCATTCAAACTGGTTTCCTTCAAAGTACGCACACTAATGCAGATCGGACGACAGACAGGGCTGGCTGTACCTTTGTAAAGTCTAAATATAGACGTTTGTCTATCCGAGACCTGTATATAAGACTCTGGTGAGGTACTACAAATTCGCTCTCCATTTATGCTGCGAAAGGCTTGTTTCACGTGCATTTATTCGGGGACTCTGTGGCTTCTTCGTCCGGTCTTGCTGGCTTTGGTGTCGCACTAAGCTCTAGAGTTGAAGCAGCACCAATCGATTGGATCCCCATTAACATTCGGTTATGTGCTGTTAGATTAGAAAGCTCCATCAAAGTGAGAAGAAACCGGCATGAGAAACGATGTATTTTGTCATCTTCACCTATGCTCCAACAAATTGCAGCCCGGATGCAATGAAGGATGAGTTTCACCACCAGCTAACAGTTCTTCTCCAGAAAGCGCGTTCGACAGATATTGTAGTATTAGTCGGAGACTTGAATGCACAGGTCGGGCGTCTAGGCACAGAAGAGAGTCGTTTAGGTGGCCGATGGGGACTTGTTGGTCGCAGGACGGATAACGGGGACCGTTTGCTGCAACTGTGCTCAGACCACAACCTGTTTCTGACCAGCACTAACTTCCGGCACAGTCATCGCCGGTGTGCCACCTGGCGTCCTCCCTCTGCATCCCAAGCCTGGACTCAGATTGATCACATCGCGATCAGCTACCGCTGGCGTGGTTGTGTACAAGACTGCCGCTCCTTTCGGAGTACCTATCTGGAGTCTGATCATGCCCTGGTCTGCGCCAATCTTACCTTACTTATCAGTGGCCAACGAACTGATCGTCATCAACGGATTGATGTTAGCAAATTATTTGCAACTTCTGTTGCAGGTAAGTATCGAACCGAGCTAGCTTCTAGACCTCTCACCTTACTTTTCAGTGGCCGAAGGATTGACCACCACCAACGTATTGATATTAGTAAACTGGCTGCAACTTCTGTTGCAAGTAAGTATCGAGCGGAGCTAGCCTCTCGGCTAGCTACCACCCCACCGAAAAATATAGATGAGCATTGGTTGCTTCTTCACGACGCCATGAAAATGGCGAGTAAAGCCGCTTGCGGCTTCGCGAGATGGAAGCAGCAGCTGCATCTGGTAACTGCCGGAAGCTCTTCCAAGCCACTGGCAGCAAGAAGTCTGGTGTGAGTGAAACAATCTACGAGGATGACGGGATGCCAATCACTAACATCTCTCGACGTCTTGGATGATGGGCGAAATTTTTCGAAGGGCAGTTCAACTGGCCTGTTGCTCTGGCAACACCTCAGGCAGAGTGAGGGCATACAACCACCTTTCTCCCTTGTTTCATTCGAGCAGTGGGGTTAGGCAGGGTTGCCCGGTCTCACCATTCCTCTTCAACTTTGCCATCGATGACATTCTGGAAACAGCTCTGATGGATGTAAATAATGGTGTTGTGGATCTGCTGCCCTGAGAACGACTTCTTGACCTCGAGTATGCGGATGATATTGTCTTACTGTGCATGAAATCTGCACTTAATCAGTTGGTAATCAGTGTCCGCAGGTACGGCATGTGCTTTGCACCCTCCAAGTGCAAAGTACTCCTACAAGACTGGCAGGATTCTCATCCTGTACTCACCCTGGATGGTGAGCAGATTGAAGTAGTTGAGAAGTTCGTGTCTCTAGGTAGTTATATAAGTGCTGGTGGTGGCGTGAATGATGAGATTGATGCACGTATAATGAATGCCAGAGCGGCTTATGCCAATCTGGGCCATCTTTGGCGCCTTCGTGATGTTAGTCTGACTGTAAAAGGTCGGATCTACAACGCGTCGGTGAGAGCAGTTTTGCTCTATGCTTGTGAAACCTGGCCTCTCCGAGTTGAGGATGTTAGACGACTCTCTGTGTTCGATCATCGTTGTCTCCGAAGGATTGCTGACATACAGTGGCAACACCATGTTAGTAATGCAGAGGTTTGGCATCGTGTGTTCGGGCGCAGGAATGATAATTCAATTGGTGTCACCATCTTGAAACACCGACTTCGGTGGCTTGGACATGTTTTACGAATGTCGTCCCAGAGACTTCCACGTCGTGCATTATTTGCCGACGATGGGACTGGTTGGAAAAAGCGGAGAGGAGGTCAGTGTATGACATGGTGTCGTGGCATGAAAGAAAGCTGCAAAGGGCTAGCTTCTGTTGGTCCTTTACGACTCCCTGGTTGGGGTCCGAGAGATGGTGCAACACAGTGGCTAGAGACGTTATCAGATATGGCTCAGAATAGAAGCCAGTGGCGATCCTGCTGTAACTTTCTTTTACTTTCTATATAAAGAATGGTTCTAACTTTCCTAACTGAGAGAATTCTTCTGGTTGTACATTTCAGTCCCCCTTATCTTTTCATCCTTTCTCTTCCTATTCTCGTTATTTTGTGTGGCGCATATGTATCTGGTGCCCGTTGTATCAATATGTATGTGTTTAAAATAAAAAAATAAAAAGATTTATTCCTGAATATTGTAAAAAATATGTTGCACTAATATGTTACTTATTTATAATAAACATCATCTATTCGCCGCATCATCACAAAGTTTTCATGAAACGATTACACTAACATTTCCACCAATAAAATTGCAGACTTTATAAATTTAATTTTTATATCAGGGCCTTTGATCGAAATATACCAGGATTTTTCGCTAATCATAACCTTCATGTGACTTTATTGTAAAAGCCAACCATAGTTTGCCATTTAGAAAAATAGTTATCATCACGGACTGGGCTGGAGAATTAACAACCATTGAAAAACTGTTCCATTTCAGTGAGGACTCTGAGTGCGCATTACGATGCCGTAAGACATCTGTAGTGGACGCTACTCAACGGATTTCTTGTTAGGAGTGTTGCAGAATGTGATCTTTAAGTTGTCACAGTCAGACGAAGCGAAGAGTTCCAGTGCATCGGAAGCACAACGTAGGCAGAACATTTGATGACCAGACGACGAGACAGTTTGGATGACGTAACTTACCGCTAAATGAAAATGGATGACCGGCTGTGTTTACGTGTTAGGTAAACCCTTTGTAATTTCTCTTTACAAATAATTCTTCTGTCAATTGTCACGTTCAACACATCCAACCTAAAAATTGTAGTAACTATGATATCATTTAGCCAATGAGTCAGGATTCAGTGATTTTCATTTTTAAAATTCAGTCAATTTATGATACAGTGTGATTATTATTTAATGTGATAGTCCATCAAGACTGCTACTAACTACGTTGATGCTGTTTAATAACAAACTCCTGTTAAAGCTTCAGGATGTTACTACAGACAAATAGAAATGACCTTTAAAAAGCGCCTATAGTAGAGCATGTACGGTATGGGTTTAGTTGCATTTGGGACCACATCACAACAAATAAAACAGTTTAGAATAAGTTTTGTGGCGATATTTTTAATTTGAAGGTGGTATCCATCACATATGGACCAGAATTGGAATACCATTAGGAATCAAGGAGGACTGGAAAAATGTTTCGTTGCACTATTGGTCTGCTCATCAGTGTACGCTTACAGCCAGCCTAAGGGATCAAATTCAAGACATTTAGGTCCCTGGGTAAGCGATTAGCCACTAAATCTATGAAGAAATTACGGATTCGCACTACTGAGGTCCCATATTAAGATATGAAAACTATTCAGTCCTCTCCAGTTTTTAGTCGTATCCCAAATGAAGTCAATCTATGACGAATACCACCTTTACATAAGACATCTTTTCATGATTCAATCGACTCCAGATAATGCATTAATTTATCAAGATATCTGTATGAGAAAAGAGAAACTAGATAATACAAAAAAGAATTTCCATTATATTTGAAACTGCATACAAACTAGACAACTATGGATGCATAAACGTGATGGGAAAGCAAATGATTTCCTTCAAAATGGTAATTCATCACTCCGTATGTTAGTTTATGAAGGTATTTTTCTCAATGACTAACCAGTGAAAGCGCAGCACACACTGATTAAACAGTCGCATATTACGATCATCATTTGAATAAGAGTGACTCGCAGAATAAATGTTACAGAAAAATAGTGCATACATGATTGAACAAGAAGATATGAACTTATACTAAACTTTCACTACAACTTAAAACCTGTCTTAGACTTTTTAATTTACTGTTGGCTGAATCTCGATGCTGTTAGTTATTTAAGGACAGTAAGAATTTCTATGATGCAAATTAGGAACTAACACAAACAAACATTGAATCTTTAGATGTTTACTTGGTTTTCAGGAACTAAAACATCATTTAAAACGTCGAATCTCCCAGTGCGAAAATCAGTAGTTAAACAATTCAGTGGTCACTTGTATGTTGAAGTGAAAAGATACACAGAAGTTAATTGCTTCACTTCAATGAAATAACTATAGTAGGTAGTAATGTTTGTTTCGAAAAATATTGCTCTCATTATTAATGTAGTGTTTCAAGTTGTACTTAAAGTGTGTTTTGGTGTAAACTCGACCAACTAATGAGAAACAGTGATAAAAGTGTAAACCACAGATTTTATCACTAGTCATTATTATTATTTAATACTGGTAAGAAGTACACTCAGAAACGAATTACAGCAGTCAACCAATGAGTAAATACCAAATGAACGAACATACCTCAATAATTGTACCTTTAGTTATTACACCTAAGGTAGTATACATTGGTGAACTTGGATTTTTCTTTACTCCAATTATAGGAAGCTGGAAAGTAGTTTTAAGCTCTGGGTGAGTAACATTTGCTTTTTTTACACGTAAACCCATCGGACGAATAAAACGTTCAAATTTAGGAGGTTTTCTTGTAAATGTATCGCCAACGAAGCACATTTTAGTAACCAAACGCTTCCATGCTTTCCGTTTAGACTTTCCTGTTCGTACAACTTTAAATGCCTCTGCTTCAGATACACTTCTTACTTTTGGTAATGGTACCTCCCATTTTCCCTGATTATAACAAAAAAAATTTAAGCAGAGAAAGTATGTCTCCAGATAAATGCAATCATCACAGATAAGTGTTGAATGATATAAAAACAAGGAAAATATTTCTTTCGAAGTACCACTGAAACGTCATATTTTGGGCATGATAACGGAAAGCTGACATAAATACACTGATCACTGACATAAAAACAAAATAATAACCTAAGTTTATACCCTTTTACTCTTTACAATCCTTATCAGGATGGTTCGAATAAGTATTTGAATTTAACCAGAAATTATATAAGATTTTATATTGATTATTATTATTTAGACACATAAATATTGGTACAAGGAAGCACCAGATACATATGCACCACACAAATCTCATTTGGTTTGTGTGAGGGCTGTGATACTGCCCAGGTGCCCAGACTGAAGCAGGTCGTTTTCTTAGGGGACCACACCCGGAGCCTTCGACCTGAAGGTCTAGTCCACAAGGCAGTGGAGCATCGTGAGGAGATGCAGTCCCATGGTAGCCGATGACCAATGATTGATTTATACGCCATTTATTCCCTCAGGATACTGGAGCCCATGTGCACCATTGGTTTAGAATGAGGGTTTTCCAACTCCTCTAGGTGGACGCCACGTGTCCATCGACCCGGTTAATCGCCGGACATTCGCTTTTCACACTTTCAATTTCGTAAACAACATTAATAGCACGAGAAGGCGGTGAGTAGGACTTCCCTGGCAGAGGTTACATACTCGCGTGAGATTTTATATTTAAGGTGAACTGAAGAATCTAAGAGGCATAAACACATGTATTAACATAAAAATAATAGTAATCACATGTCGTACATGGCTGGGAGATTTCAGTTTTACGGATTGCTTACTCCCCAGTGAGAAAGATCTGACTCTGAGACCTAATTCTTGTGTGACACCTGGCCCCTCTGAGTTGAGGATGTTAGACAACTCTGTGTTTGAGCATTGTTGTCTTCAATAGATTGCCGACATCCAGTGGCAACACCATGTTGATAATGCAGAGGTTCGACACAGCGACGATAATGCAGTTGGTGTCACTATCTTGAAAAATCGTCTTAGGTGGTCTGGACATGTACTACGAATGTCGTCTCAAAAAATTCCACGTCGTCAACTATTTGCCGACGCTGGGATCGGTTGAGAAAAGCGGAGAAGCAGTCAGTGTATAACATGGTGTCGTGGTACGGAATAAAGCTGTACAGAGTTGGTTTGTGCTGGTCCTTCACGACTCCTTGGTTGGGGTCCTAGAGATGGTACAACACAGTGGCTAGAGACGTTATCAGACACGGTTCAAAATAGAAGCCAGTGGTGATCCTGCTGTACTTTCTTTTACTTTTAACATGAAAGTGGACGCAACTTTAACTGAAAGAATTCTTTCTAGTTGTGTTTTTCCTAACTGGACTGCTCCTCCGTTTATTATTATTATTATTTCTTTACTCAAACACAAATTTATGTTCATTGTTCTTTTTTATTATATACACTTTACATCCTGTCTCTTCACAACCTCATTGTTATTGTGTGACGCATACGTATGTGGTTCCCCCTTGTACTGATTATTGTTTAAACTAATAAATAACTTTCAGCAATGAATAACAGACCGGATATAGTATAATTTAAATATAATAGCGTAGTAATGACCAGAAGATAGGTTTTCAGTGTGAAATTAATATAATAATTATTACACAGTCGAATATAAAATTATGATGAAGGTTTAATAATTTTTGATGGTAGATATTAAAAATAAAACTACTGTAAATTTCAACCAGTTGAACAAAAAATTAATGAAACTGAATACGAATTTGGAATTTACCCATTCCGCAAGTACTCGAGTACAAGCCACACTTTAGCTTTGAGGGTCAATGATGCTACCGTTTGCTAGAACCAAAATAAATTGACAGGGCTCGAACCCAGGGCTTTGTGGATGAAAGCTTAACGCCATGACTTTTAAGCCCCCAAATGCCCTGGTACGGCCGAGAGTGAGGAGAGTCCACTCTCCCTCCGGAAATGCTCTCACATGGTCAGCGAATATACAGCCTCTGCCAGGGAAGTCCTACTCACTGCCTTCTCGTGGCGGGGGTATTGTTTACGAAAGTGAGAGGACAAGAAGCGAATATCCGGCGCTTTAACCGGGTTGGTGGACACGGAGGGTCCACCTAGGGGAGTTGGAAAACCCTGATTCCAAACCAATTTGTACACATGGGCTCCAGTATCCTGATGGAACGAATGAACCTGCTGTTGGTCACCGGCTACCATGGGACTGCATCTCCTCGCGATGCTCCACTGCCTTGTGGATCAGATCTTTAGGTCAAAGGCTCGGGGTGTGGCCCCCTAAGAAAACAACCTGCTTTGGTTTGGGCACCCGAGCAGTATCACAGCCCACACACAAATAAGTGAAATGATGAATTCTATTGACGATACTATTCTCGCTCATATTAGAAGCAAGACAATTTACACTATTATTATTATTTACTACGTCGCTTTTTCACTCTCTTTATTCCCAAATTGTGTAATCTTCCTTTCCAACTTATGCAGTAGCTCGCCCATGGTCTTTAGTATGGCGCATATGTATCTGGTGCCCTTTTGTACCAATATATATGTGTTTAAATAAAGAAAATAATAAATGACTTTTAAGCCACCTGGCGCATTTGTGCATCAATCAAATCTTCTGGACTACATCAACATAGTGAAATTAGATTGCTAAGAACAATACCAGAGTAGTATGAAAAGTAACTTATCAGTGACATTAAATATTGATCTAGACAGTTTGTCAGTACATTCGTATTCGACCTGTCTGGCCACTTGAGGATCGGATCAAGTGGAAGAATGCCCTAACAGAGTTAAAAACTCGAAGGCTAAACGGTGAAGCAAACCTTACGATTAAGGGTTTTCGGGTAGTCTGGTCTTGGAAGCCAATGATTCCGAGACCTGTGTGGGTAGAACGCATGTCTCCAAAAACACCCTAAATGTGTGTTATACGAATGCTCGTAGTCTTCGGAATAAGATGTCTGAACCAAGTTTGATGGTAGACGACTTAAATCCGGATATAATTGTTATCACCGAAACTTGGCTCACTGTAGATATAGACTGTTCTCCAGTCATTTCAGGCTACATCTGTGTCAGAAGTGATAGAGTTAGAAGTCGCAAGGGAGGAGGCATAATATTATATGTTAGGGACCACTTCCGCATTAACTCGATCATATCGGAGGCGCATGTAAGTGGTACGTGTGAGGTAGTATGTTGTACAATTAGGTCTAGAAACGGGTTAGTGACGATAGGAGGAATATATCGTAGTCCATGTTGTCTCGCTGACGACTTCATCCTAGAACACATCTGTTCTTGGAGTAAAGCAGAATGTTGTCTCATCGTTGGAGACTTCAATGCACTTCATATAAACTGGATAGAGCTCACAGCTCCAGGTGGGGGTTTCGATAGCGTCCTTCTGTCATCAATTATTCAATGTGCATTTGTACAATTTATCATTAAGCCGACGCATATAGACTTGGAACATAATCCGTCATTGATAGACCTTGTCCTCACACACCACTTTGTAGATATCGTCGACATTCAACACCTTCCCCCACTGGTGAATAGTGACCATGTCGTACTTTCCTTTAAGTTCCGGATACATGGTATAGAATTTGCATCTGCTCCACTCCGTCCTAATATCTGGAGAGCTAATATTCCGGCAATAAGGGACTATGCTATCTCAATTGACTGGTCGGTCGATGCTGATGGATCGATTGATGATGCATGGAATATGTTCAAGTCTACGTTCGAATCCGTAACTCAACCGTTTATCCCATGGTCAGCACGTAAGCTATCATATTGCCCCCCATGGATTAATAAGGAAACCCGGAAGCTGTTGAAGCGTAGGAAACACTTCTGGGACTTATTCTTGTCAACAGGTCAGGCATCATTTAAGTGCGAATATAAAAAATCCGGGATATATGTAAAAAGACCATAGCTAAATCCCGCACGGCTTACGAACGACAGTTGGCATACGATAGCCGTACCTGTCCGAAGCGACTGTTTTCGTATGTTAAAAGGCGGACGAAACATAGCGATGGTATCCCCTCATTACTGTTAAGCGAAAATTCAGCTTTATTGGCTGAATCTGATCTAGCGAAAGCGGAAACATTTGATAACTATTTCAGTGAAGTCTACTCTACGTGTAGTGTTACAACTACTTGTCCCGTTGACAATGAGATACCAGCCATAGGACCTTGCACGTGACAGAGGATATTGTTCTTCCTTTAATAACTAACATAAAACCTTGTAAGATACCGGGCCCCAATGGGTTACACCCACGTTTGCTGTCGTCGCTTGCGGACATTATCTCAAGACCGCTTACGATGATCTTCAACATGTCCCATACATGCAGAGTCTTCTGACCACTATAAGCAACTATGCAGGCATGTTCGGGATGCGATTCTCTCCCTCGAAGTGCAAAATGTTACTTCAGGATTGGGTTGCAGCGACACCTGAACTAATGATAGTTAGTGAAGTAGTTGAGCGTGCAGACCACTTCACTTATCTTGGGAGTCTCATAAGCCCTTGTGGTCTGGTATGTGACGAAATCTCAGCACGGATACAGAAGGCTCGTCCAGCTTTCGCCAACTTGCGTCATTTATGGCGTGGGCGAGATATCCGTCTAGAAACCAAACGACGGGTTTACTGTGTAGCAGTTCGCTCCGTCCTACTTCATGGCAGTGAAACATGGCCAATAAGAGTAGAGGATATTCGTAGGCTACTAGTGTTCGATCATAGGTGTCTTCGAAGCATTGCTCGTATATCCTGGGACCACCGACTAAGTAATGCAGTTGTTAGAAAACGAGCACTAGGTAGGGATGGCAAATCGATTGATGAAGTATTGAAACTTCTTCAGTTGAGATGGCTGGGACATGTGTTACGTATGCCCGACCACCGACTGCCCCGACGTGCAATGCTTCATGGTGTAGGAGTAGGTTGGAAGAAAGCTAGGGGTGGCCAGACCAAAACGTGGCACAAATCAATGAAGTCACTGACAAGTGGACTGAGCCATGTTGGTAGGTGTAGACTACCTGGTTGGGATTCGCGAGATGACAGCAACCGATGGTTAGAGACCTTGAATGACATGGCTCAAAATCGTTTGCAATGGCGAAGATGCATCCACTCTTTGTGTTCTACCAAATTCTAATCTTCTGAATTCCTCACGTCTTTATCTTTTTCTCTTTCCAAATTTATTTCACTGTACTATACTCCTTCAATAATTTCTTCAAACCCTAATCTTTTGGATTTCTGATTATACTCCTACTACTTCTACCACTATGGGATTTGAATCGACAACTGCATTTCTGTGCTAATGTGGTATGGCAACTCGAACTGATGTACGTACGTACGAAGTTCTACGCTGTGACTGACTGACAACATGTCCCTTTCACAGGCTCAACTACCTAGAGACTGGAAAGACGCCATAGTTAGTCCTATATTTAAGGTTGATCAGAGACGGATCGTATCTAACTACCGGCCTGTTAGCCTGACCAGTATAGTAGTTAAGTTACTTGAAAAATTAATTCGGGCTAAGCTACTGAGCCACATAGATTCGTACAATCTGTTAACTCCCGAGAAACATGGGTTTCGTAACAAGCATTCATGCTTGACTAACTTACTCATTGCGAGAGAGGATTGGACGGCTGCCCTAGACAACGGCCAGTCTGTCGACGTGATATTCATAGATTTTAGCAAAGCGTTTGAAAAGTTTTCACACTTAGGTCTTATGCAAAAGCTCTCGAGCATTGATATAACAGGTGCTATACAGGAATGGATAGGAAGCTTCTTATGTGACCGCAGAGTGAGGGTCAATGGAACTCTATCCGAATGGAAACCGGTCAAAAGTGGTGTACCCCAAGGCACCATCTTAGGCCCTTTACTTTTCCTTCTGTATATTAATGAACTACCTTTATTACTTAAGTCGTCGACGTTATTGTTTGCGGATGATGTTAAAATCTGGAGAACAATAAGAAATGAGACTGATCGTTGTTATCTGCAAGCAGATTTAGACGAATTAGTTAGGTGGGCTCATGATTGGGGCCTGGAAGTTAATTCCAGGAAGAGCGTGTTCATGCACATCGGGCACGATATTAGTTAGTTCTGCAATGCGGTTGCTTCCAAAGGTTATCGCGCGCTATGGTCGCTTCGCAGAGCATTTAAATGCTTTGACGAGGCAATGTTTCGAATTTTATATCCCACCTATGTAAAGCCACACTTAGAATACTGTATCCAAGCAGCTAGCCCTTGTCTGATAAAGGATACTAAATCGCTTGAGCGTGTCCAGCGTGTAGGGACAAAATTAGTAAAGGGTCTTTCCAAACTCCCTTACGATGAGCGTTTAAAACGTCTAAACCTTTTCCCCTTATCTTATCGTAGGACGCGAGGTGACCTTATACTGGCATTTCGTATCTTTAATTATGATCTGGGTGTTAATATGTCTTATCTTTTTGCTCCCTCCAGCACTAATAATCTCCGGGGTCATAGCAAGAAGGTTCTGAAACCGCGATCTAATAAACTAAAGGTGGGGTCCCGTTTTTCTCATGGTCAATGACTGGAACGCTTTACCAGAACAAGTGGTATCAGCACCATCAGTGAACATTTTAAAAAAGAAGCTGGACCTTCACTGGAAGGAAATCTGTCAGGATTAACACAGGTTCATCAACCTACTATCCTTATTACTGAAGACAGTTACAATGTAGAACCTGATATGTAAGTACATCGGTTCAAGTAAAGACTAGGTAGAGACAGTATGACTCAAGAATTATTAAGTTAAATAGAAGACGAAGAATATAAGGGAGAGCAAATAGTGGGTGAATCTACGTTATTATAATCGATTGAAAGTCATTCCATCCGTCTCCGACCTATACGGCTCAATCCATCAATGATTTCACCTAAACATGATATGGTAGGACATGTACTCAAAGTACAAACTACATGATGTGGTAGAACTTACTCACAAAAAAGGCTGTTTAGTGTTGCATTTCAACTGAACAACTGCGAAAATGTTGCAAACTCTTGACTTTTGTTACAAATTATATGTCAAAATTAATTAAAAATGAGTAACAGGTACTGTACAATTTAATTAGTCTTACAGCTTTCTCAGCTTTTTTCTGCTTAACAGTGTTGGATAACACTTTGGCAGAGATCTGTTCTCCACGATCTAAAAGATAAGCAGGTACTTCTCCAGATCGCCCAGCTTCGTCGACTTTTTGGTTTTTTCCTTTTAACTCATGCATACGTAAACTAAGAAAATAATAACTTCAGTTTAAAGTCTCACGTTTTCTTCATCTGAACCTTTTCTTTGAACCTCTCTTTGTTGGCAATTTTCGCCTTTAATCCACGGAGCTTTTTGGCTTTACGACTCCTTTCATGAGGTTCACGAGCCTCTTTTTTCCGTCTGCAACAATATAAACGAGATATATGAAGACTGACTTTCTTTCAAAATAGTCAAAGCGATACCCATGGCGTTTGCGATGGAGCTCAATGTGCTCGTTTTGAGGCTAAAGAGTATGTCATACGCTAAAACCCAAACCCACCATGTGATTGATATTGAGATTTGCGTCAAAAGACCTACAAACGACCTTCAAGTGACGCCAGAAAACAACAAGGACTCATTTTGTTTCGAGTTGTTATGTATGAAAAAGAATAAGCTTCTACCTAGACAATTTTGGTGTTTATTAATAATGGTTTGGTGATGTTCCTAGTTTGGAGGTCTTTGATGTCTGTGTACAACAATGATTCTTTCATACATTATTTGGCGGCTGATACGGGTTTTAACACTGTAACACGTTCGACATTTTGTGCCATCGACATTATGTTCCGTTTATGAGATTCCCTGAGTCTCATAATCGTATGAATTTTGACTGTTGTCAATGGTTTTCGTTATTAGACATAAGTGCTTCCTTGTCATCGACTCACGTTACCTTTTGTTATTCTCTCTTTCAAATAATGTCGCTTACTTCTCTTAACAATTCCTTAGCACACAACGTATCTTCAGTCAAGATGGAAGCCTATCAAAGGCTGAACATAAGAATACATCACCTTTAGGCATTGATGAAAAGCTAAGTCCAAGGTTTTCGAGTATGTGTATGGTGTTTCGGAGTGTTTTCATGAGGCTATTTCGTCAGCAAAAATCTTTGGAGATAGGTAGGGCAGGCTTATTTTGTAACCAGTCTTTGTTACTACTTGCATTTCTTTCATTAATTCTTGTAATTGGTACGTTTATTATGAGTGACTATAAAATAATCCCTTAAAAACGCATTATCTTAGATTTTCCGTTTTCGTTCTGAATCCACCGTAGCATAACAAAATGATTATAGCTCGCAAATACACTGATGCACATATGTGTCTTATATTCTTAACTACCTACTCTAATGTATCTGCTATCTATGTCTACAAATCACAGTGATATTCTCATTGTATGCTTTATCTGTATATACATCTCGACATGCAACAATTGTCGTTGGAATTATTCACTACCTATAACTGCGGATTACTAGAGCAACAGAAACTCGAACGCACCAATCCTGACAATTTAAGCAACGTCCTGTATATTTTTCTTGTGTGTATAGATTATATTTAATATATTATCACATTAATTTTCGAACGTAATACCGCAGGTAATACTCACTGAGCAAGATCCTGTTACTGAACGCTGAGAGACATTGCTAGGATATTCTGTGACTCGGACAAGAGATTACTTTGCTCTGACCCTGAGCAATCGATTATTTAAGCGAAATCAAAATCAGTGTGGATGATATGCATCTTCTCCAGCTTATTAATTAGAAGCCAGCAAATAACCCTATCACAAGCTTTGATTAATCAAGATATTACAAACACGTTCACTTTAGATCAAGAATGGTGGCTCATCTCTCCATCAAAATAAGTAGTTTGGTGATGCACAAGCAGACGTTCCTGGAACCAATTTTTTGGGAAGAAAGCCTTCTACATATAGCGGTTGGTCGCGTTTTGTAATATTGAAAGAATTACTGGCCAGTTGTCTGAGAATCCAGTGTTTCGGGCTTTGTTGAAAATTGGTTTGATGTTTGCCAGCTTCGATTTCGCCCTATTTAAGGAATAAGAGGACGGTGTTGGACAGCAGACTAGATTCACTGGTCGTGGACCAGATAGAAGACTCTTGCATACATTTTTCATCCATTTTTTAGAGGTAACAGATCAGTAGTATTTGTAGGTAAGGGTCCACGTACGTGAAATACGTCTCAGTAAGGCTTTTTAAATTAGCACTGAGTGCCTGAAAGAATTTACATCTCAGACCGGTTAGTGAGTTCTACATAAGCCTCTTCTGAAAAAGAGTAGTTCACACTCTCACCTACTTCAGTAGAGTAGACTATCTATTTGTGTCTCCCACAAATGTGGCCCAATAGGCATTAAAAACAGGAGGCCATCCATGTTAGTTTTAACGAACTAAAACGCCATGGTTCAACGATGCAGGCGTTATCACTCTGTGGACTTGTTCTCTTTATACTAAATACATTATCCTATTGCCACATTTTGGATGGTTTTATTCAACCTTAAATAAAACTCCTGAAGGTTCAGATGGCTGTGGATGGAATAAAATAAGACTTCGTCTAACGGACTTCTGTGTTTTGTAGTAGTGGATCACCAATACCTCTAGGCAGAAAACTAGGTATGATGACGATAAAAGAGGAAAAAAGAAATCGGTAAATCGTAATAAGATTTATCCTTAGTGCTTAAGAAAAGGTCAAGTTTCCTCTGAAAATACTCCTGGGAAGTTGCTTGGATTAGCTCAGTCTGCAGTGAATTCCAGCATTTGACAACTCTCACGGAGCAGAATTTGTGACTAAGCTTAAGAAGATGTCTAAGGGGATGACCAGAAGTGTTAAGGATACTGTAAGTCATAAGAAGGTCACCTCTAAGGCGCCTGTATTCTAATGGGTAAAAGTTCAGTGATTCCAGACGTTCTTCGTAAGGCTTGAATTTGAGTCCCCAGACTGATTTCGCGGCTAGCCGCTGGATACGTTTCAATGTCCTTATCCTTCTGGATTGTGGTAAAAAATACTACGTTTCCGTACTCTGAATGGGGACGAATAAAAACTGTTGAAGATTATGTGGAAAGTTATACCATCAAACTGGTCAAAAATGCGCTTCAATGTTGCCAATGCAAAGTTCGCTCGAAAGGCATTCTTGTCACAGTTAGCGTAAGACCACAAATAGTAGGGTACCAACACTCCTAAATCTTTTTCGTCTTCAGATACTTCTAGAGAGGAGTTTCTCACGTTGTAACTATAGTCTGCAACGTATCGCAGATGAACTACTTTACACTTTGAAGTGTTGAAGGTAAGTCCGTCGTCCTCTGCCCAACTTTGAATTCCAGTTAGACCGTCCTGAAGTGCCAGTATATCCTCCTGTTTGCGCATCTCTCTCCGAAGTTTCACATCACCAGCAAAAAGCAACAAGTCAGACAATACCTGTTGTGGAGGGTCGTTATTATAAATCAAGAAAAGAGTCCCTAGAACTGAACCTTGGGGGATCCCACTTAGACATTCCGTAGCCTGAGAGAATGTGAAGTTAACTGTGGCCCTAAAATGTCGAGTTTTTAGATATGAAGTGAGCCAGTCAATCAAAGGTGATTTGATGCCCAATCTTTTGAGCTCATTGATAAGACATATGTGATTGACCCTATCAAAAGCTTGTGAGAAGTCAAGATAAATGACGTCAACCTTCCACGTGCGATCAAGGATGGTTTCCCATCTGTCCAACGCAGTCAGGGTCTTCCCGAAACCATGCTGCTGGGGTGTAAAAAGTTTACGGATAATAAACAGTAGTGTATATCGTGGCATATCAGGTACTGCATACTTTTTGAAGGTATGGGGAGAAGTGCCACCAGTTGATAACTTGAGGGTTCCCTCGGTCTATCTCTTTTAAAAATTGGTGTGATGTCAGCCAGCTTTCAAATTTACGGCAATGTTCCTCGGCTTGGCGTGTGTGGAAGCTTCACGCTAAGCGGTGTAGCTAGGACTGAAACTGCTTTCCTCAGTATAGCAGAATGAACCATATCCGGACCACGAGAAGTATTAATTTTAGGTGTTGCAGTTTCTGGAACACTGGGTCAGCTCTCAGGTTCACTTCGGGAAGTCCTGTGCAGTTGCAGGTGAAGCTTTAATCAGTAGAGTTGATGTGAGTCGGTTAAAATATCCGACAGTATTGTTCAGCCAAAAGGTTAGCAGCATCCCTGTCGTTATTGGTAGGATCATTAGGACCTAGCAGTTGAGAAACTTCAGTTTTGGCTTGTCGGAGAGAAGCTGCGTAACGGAATAAGCTTTTCGGATTGGAGACAAATTTATCGGTAAGCTTGTTCTGGTACTGACGCCTGTCTTCTCTTATTGCCTTTGTGCATATGTTCCTTATATGTTTGTATTTCATGTACGCGCCGTTGTTACCAGTTCGTTTGCATTCCGCTCAACAGTGCGTTTTGTGGTTTAGTAAATGTAGAGTGTGGTTTTACACGAATGTAGGTTGCTTGTAGCTCTTGGGGACCGTTTGAGGAACAGACTGTCTTTTAGCAAATAAGAGCGTGTGCAATAAGGAATATCACTGAGGATCCACATCAAGTCAAGGGTGAACTTCCCAATCCATCTGCTGTAAATCGTCCTGTAAATCAGACACATGCAACCGTTTGAAATTCCAGCGCTTGTTGTCGGTAGGATTTCTTAGCTGACAAAACTAAAGGCTATGATGGTGTGGTCGCTTTCTCCTAGGGGAGTCAGGATTGAGAGGTTGTCAATTAGGAGTCCTTCGTTTGTAAGTACACGGCCTTTGCACGACGGCGTCTAACTGCTTCTCCAGCGAGTTGCCGACTTCACAGTTTCGAATAATCTCAGATCCTAAGTGAAGTTGAAGAACTGAGCTTCAGTAGAGTATTCACCTACAGTATAAGTATGTTTCGCGAAATTGACTCTAGGAAGAATGAGGTTCCCTAGAATCTGAATGTAAGTGAATCCGAGAACAGTAGAGCGGCATAGTGCTTCCAGCATACGCTTTTCGTACTCGACGTCAGTAGTTGATTCCAGGAAGATTGAAGTCCCCTGGAATCAGGATACATGAGAATCCGAGACGCGTAGAGCTAGTTAATCCTTCCAACAAACGATTGTCGTACTCGATGTCTGCAGTGGGCCTCCTGTAGATGACACTAACTGAAAATCCTGAAGTGTTAGTCAATCTCACTGAACACCATACGGACTCATCAAGACCGATATACTCTCAGTTGTGAACATGGTGTACCTCCAGGCATGATCGTTCCATTTCTTGTTGCGAAATCGTGGATGAGCATTTCTAAGGAGCTTCACACTTCAAGGAGACAGTTGTTCAGTGTCTCCATGTTTTCAATGTCTGCCTTGTTTAGGTCAGTCCTTGACTTAAGTGAAACCCAACAATCTACACAACCTCATGCCAACACAAATGTAATCGTTATTTATCAGGAATAGTTTATGCCATTATGAAGATATCTGGTTGTAATATTCTTCAATACTGGAATGCTTTGGTGCATTATAATTTCCCGTTTCATTGGCTGATTTTTGGGAATCTTAAACGTGTAACAAAATTCCTTTCGGTGGCTCTT